CACTTATACTCCCCGTCGCGGATGGTTAAATCCCCATTGATATACAATTTTTTGCCATTCATGCTAGCAATGTCACATTTACCACCCATATAATCTCTGGTAATTTAACATAGCTATTGAAAATGGTCATTTATACTGGATTTCCCATTGAACATGGTGATTTTCAATAGCTACGTTAAATTACCAGAGGGTAAATTGATGGTTTATAGCACCCATCAAAATGGTAAAAAAACGTTGATGATTGCTTTACTCATGTGGACCAGCACTTAGAACATATTTTTTTCTAAAACAGGCACTTATAGAATATGCAAAAATCATTGATTAGCACGTTGCACTTAGAATTCCCATGACATGACATCCCCATGAATCTCAAATCAGCCAGGACTACACTCTCCCAGCCGGCCTGGCTCCGCAAGTGCTCTTCAAAGGTGTGGAAGCGCACGTGACACTCCGTGCAGCACGCCGCGCAGGTGCCAAGGGGTTTTCAGTCGCGACCGAGCGACCCTTTCGAAGGCCATATAAATTTTTGGGGAAATCATCGTCCAACCATGTTCGTTTTTATTTTGTTGGGACATTTCCAGCGTTTTTTTGAAATCAGCTTCCAAATTTGTGTTTTTTGGTTTTATACTGGATTTTGGGGGATGGAAGGTGGTTCATAACCTCAGAAAATGAGAGATTCGACCTACAGCAATGAGGTCTGAAGTTCGAAGTCACAAAATTGGAAAGCGTAATTGAAGCGAAGCAGTTGGGATTGAAGCAACAAAGGGTATTATTGACCTCTTGTACCAAAAATTGGGAGTAAACCAACCTGTTTCAGGTATCTCCCCATCATTCGCCCGCAGTTCTCGGCCAGTTTTTTTAAAGATTTACACCCAGTTTCATCTGATGTCGCTCTACTGTATCTTGACCTTCACGATACTTGGGACTTCAACCGTCACAGATGTACATGAAATGCCATTTTCAGAGGTTCATTTTTTCTAGGTTGTTTCCCCAGCAAGTTATGGGATGTTTCAACAGATTTTCCGGGGCTGAATCACCAGTCTCACCAGTCGTTCTTCACTGAGGGTTCCTTTGTCCTGCACCAAGCTTGATCCATGTTTGGGAAATCTCAAATCTCCAGTGAATATCAGAAATCAATGCAGGCTCTTCAGATTGAACCCTCATCAGATTGCGGGGTGATGGAATCAGTTCAGAACTGATTGGTGGATATTGGTGGTGTCGATTTTCCATTTTTGTTTCTCCAGCCCAAAACGAGGTTTGTATGAAAATGGGACACACCAAATCCAGTGGTACCCAAATATTGTATGGCTTCTATATCCTCTGGAATATCGCATGATATCCGATTGTACCCCCCATTTCCATTTTCTCATGAGAAACTATGGAAATAGCATATGTTAAAAAAATGGAAACGATATATTCCAGAAACTCCACATCTTTTCCGGAAAACGCAGATAGACACTCCATATTTTTTGATGGGAAGAACATCGAACATCCCTTTTTTTTGCTCGGGAAACGATGGAGAACTCGCCAGGCAACGCCTTGGGCGCCCTGTGGCAGGGCCGCACCTTTTTCATCTCGCTACGGTCGCCCGATGTGGTCCCTGTGAAGGACGGCCCGGAGGGCCCGGAGGGCTGGGTGGAGACGGAAACACCGACACCGGAAACCATGGCCAGATTCCCTGATATGGAGAGAATCTGACCAAGGTGCCACCAAAAATGATCTGGTTGGTGGTTTGGAACATGATTTTTATATTTTCCCCTAGAGTTGGGATGATGATCCAATCTGACTTTCATATTTTTCAGAGGGGTTGAAGCCACCAACCAGATGGTGATGTGAGATATTTTCAGGAATGCCTTTGTTTAGCTGAATGAAACGTTGATGAGGTGGCCGATGGACATTTATATTTACACCAGAGAAAGTGGTGAGACGGGTATAACATGGTATAACAGCTCTGATGTTTGCATTGGAATGGAGCTATGAAAGAATCGCAGTGGCCAGGGTGGACCCAACCACACCAGGTGCAGTTTGTGAAGTTTCGGATCCATTTTCGGTTCCAGGGCCCATGAGACATACTTTTCTTTCTGGTTCTTAAGCTGTAGGGAAACGATGATGATTTTACTCTCCAGAAATGCGGTAGAACTATCTGGAAACTGATCTGGATTGAGTGAGATACCCGAACCGAAATCGGATCTCCCAACATGGTACCGATTCTCTGAGAAATACTCAGCACGACTGATCGTTTCTGCCAGGTTTGCCATCACCTCAAAAATCAGTTGGGTAAGCCTTGGTTTAGTTCATGGACTTTTTTTTTTTAAATGGAATCAGATATCCCAGTGCCACAAAACTTCGTTTCAGGGATGGAGGATGACTTACCGAAAAAAAGGAACCCAGACCACCTGAAAAGAAATCAAAGAAGTTCCATGGGCCATGGATTTTTGAGAAAAGATCAATGGCTCACACGAAAATGGACATCCCAATCTTCAAAATACACTTTCATTCCTGGCCCAACCCAATCAACACATCAGATATTGGATATGGTTATGTGTTGGTCAATTTTTTGGTTCTAATGGGTCACAAGGAAAGGAAGTCTACCCCCTGAGCCCCTCAGCTAATAGGACTCGGCCGAAGGCAGGGAAGGGCTGACATGTCACCAAGGAAACCCGGTGGGAAAAGAAGATCGCAACAGAAGCCCCAATTTTTTCATGGGATTCTCATGTGGAAATGGATATTTCACGATATTTCTAGCAGTGTCCAGAAAGTCAGGTTGGATAGCTGCCATGATTTTCAAGTGAATCTCCACTGTTGCAAGGTCAACTGTCAACTTTTCCGTCCAAATGTCAGTATTTTCGACCAGATCAATCGCCGAGTTCCTGGGTAAATTCTTGGTTTTCAGAGTCTGTAGTTTAGGTTTAAATTCATCTTGCCGTGCAGCCAAATCTTATCTGAGATTGCAGGTTTTGACGGCTGAGTATTTGCATATCAGGTCAATTTCCAAGTTCGTAAAAATCTGTGAGGGTAAACCTGAAACCTGGGTCAGCGGTGCCACTGAACATATCTAAAATTGGCCCGGTTGTATGCCTGGCAGTCCAATTGTAGCTTGCTGCCAATATTATCATATATTATCTATGTACCCCATGAAGAGTGGGGATTTGACTGATGTAAGTAAGAAGACTGGGCCAAGCATAGCCAAGTAAGCAATATACTCCAGGTAGGAGCTCGCCCTGCACATCCAGGTGGTGTCAATCCATGTCAATCCCCGTTTCTGTTCGTATCCCATTCTTGTTGGCTGTATATCCATGGCGTATTCATGGCGTAACTCAATTCTTACTGGGCAAAAACGCCACTCCCCCCACCCTCCGAATCATCGATGGTGAAAAACATTCCCAGCGGAAGGCGATGAGAGAAGCGGACAGGTGGGTTTTCGGACACTTTTTGGGACGAAAAAGTTGCCTGAGCCGTGAGAAATCCTCCGTTTTCATGTGATATGCTGGTTGCTGAAGAATAGGGATAGTATATTGGCTTTCCCATTGTTACTGGGGAAAATATTGGGGATGATCATAGTTGGGATAATATGTGTATACATGTTCCAGCTTCCGGGTCCCCCCCCTCCCCACCCATGGTCATGGTACCCCTCTCCCCACTGTGGAAACCGGGAACACACACACACATATATATAATATAATATAATATATATATATTACAGTATATAATAGTCATAGTACTCGTATAATATATGTATATATATATATACACATTATATATACATATATATTACAGCATTTGATAGTCATAGTATAATATTTATGTATATATATGTATATACAGTATATAATAGTCATAGTATATCTATATCTATATTTATATCTCTATATCTATATATCCATATCTATATATATATATATATATATCTATATATCTATATATATCTATATATCTATATATCTATATATCTATATATTTATATATTTATATCTATCTATATATATATATTTGTACACATGTAATGCGTGCACAATAATATCATGTTGATTAAGAACTGGATTCCCAGCTCAAATTCACGTGCTGATATTTCCCCACAAGCGTCAAAGGGGTAGATCGCAGCTACTGCTCACCTGAAATGATCTGGAAGTTTGGCAGAACAGGCCAACAGGCCATGAGCCTTTGAACCAAGGCCCTGCAAGGCCAGTTGAGCCATGAAAAATACCAGAGTTGATAGGTTATTATGGGGATTGTACTATCTGGTTTAATGGGGATTATAATGAACCATAATAGGGATAACTATTCACCAACCAGTATAATGGGATGAGATAGCGGTATTTTTCATGGCTCAGTTGTTTTTGAGAATTAAGAAATGTCGGAGGATGGGAAGCCAAGCAAAATCATGGGATGCTTGGTGGCTCATCCCACGGCTCGTAAGTGGGTTATAACCCCAGTTATAAATGGGATTTTTGTAGGGTTAATCCACATCAATCACTGGGGTTATAGCCCACTTACTAAATTCGTGGGTAGTTCGCCACCAAGTGTGCAAACCACCCATCAGACCCCGACTCTCCGTGGGAATGAATGATTCCGATTCCGCCCGTTATGACCATCAAAAATTACGAAGCAAAGATCTTATGACCCAGGAATCTCTCGTATATGATGATGTATTATCGCCAGACACGTTTGATTACCTGGCAAATCTCCCCCAAAATATCATTATTTTTGATTGTGAAAAATGCTCATTTTGGATGGTTAATCCCCCCAAAAAATATCCAATTTTTTAACACCATGATACCACCATGGATGCTAACAGATCCTCATTTTGGATGTATAAAATCAGCATTTTCCTCATTTTGGATGTATAAAATCACCAATCATTTTCCTCATTTTGGATGTATAAAATCACCAATCATTTTCCTCATTTTGGACGTATAAAATCAGCATTTTTAATCAACCAGAGTCACTGACTGTAGAGAGAAGCCCTGCCCAGGGCAAGCCCTGCCGGTGCGCCGCATCGCCAGGGATCCTCGGACTTGGGATACAAGTTGGAGCTCACTCGACACAAGGCGGGTTAAAGGATGAAAAAAAGGATGTTTTCCAGGGCAGTTTTTGATGATTTGTTCTTCGTTTCATACATTGGGGCTTCGGGTTGCGAGCACGTGGATTTTTTTTCTTTGGCTGGGAATTGAACATTGGCCTTGCCTATATGTTCTACTGCTCTTTACAGCATGAGTGTCATATGTGTTTTGTGTTTTGTGTTCGGTAACAGTTCTGCAAATTGGCGCCGACTGAAGGGCAGCTTCGGCCATATCTTTGGTGGATTGGATTTGGTTGCGAATGTGGCCCCAGGATTTTCATGCGGAGAAAAAAGAAAACAGAGGTTACCCTCTGGTTATGACTAACAGTTTGCCATGGAAAATCACCATTTTTAATAGGTAAACCCAGGTAAACCATCTATAAATGAGCCATTTTCCATGGCTATGTTAAATAACCAGAGGTTAGTTCTTAGGGTCATGCGTTCACGATCTTTCACTCCACCCCTCAAAACTACCCTGGAATCCACAAGAATAGCAATTTGCTCTAGGAAAAACCATCTCCACACCCTGTTCTTGGGGGTTCCATGTTAGTCACTGAACTTCCCAGTGCAGCTTGGCTCAGCATCAACGCGGATGTCGCACTGCCTGCGCCATGGCCTCGGGCAATGGGTTTGAGATTGATCTGCCGCGTCCCCGTTACTACTCTTGGTCATGAAGTTCTGAGGATTCTATTGTAACAACTTCCTTCAAAAGCAGGCGCAAAGCTCGCCTTGCACCATGCTGAGTCAAAGTTCATGCAAGACCTTGAAGCAGCAAGGGATTCTTGGACAGATGGCAACATTGCCGTGCACTTTCGTGTCAACAAATGTGCATGCATCGTGTCTCTTTCTTCATGGATTCGGCACTGACCCTGCAGACGTTGCATTGGAAGGGACAACAGAGCTTCAAAGCCATCCTGGCGCGTATTTGCAATATCTACCCCGATGCCTTCAAACCTTGTCTCTTGTTCCCAAAACCAACAAGCAGCTGGAGCGAGTCACTTTCCCTTGCAAGCTTCAAAGCTTGACATTTGGTAGCGTGTTCAACCAGAGCCTGGCCGGGATTGTTTTGCGAGCTTGACTTTGACCAGAGCCTAAAGAGGCGAGACTTTGCCAGCAGGCCTTCAAATCCTGAAGTTTGGTCGCGACTTCAGCCAGAACCTGGAGGGTGTGGCTTTGCCAGAGAATCTTCGTTTGTTGACTTTTGGTTGGCATTTCAACTAGAGCCTCCAAGGTGTGGATTTACCAGAGGGTCTTCAAAGTTTGACGTTGCGTCCAGAACCTAAATCAGCCACCATTCAGAGCTCCACTGATGGTGGTTGATTTCATATCGCGCTGGCCGCATCTCAAATACAATCCTCTGGGATGCAACCCTTGCCCCAAGGTGAGTGACACAACTGCCATGATCCAGATCGACAGCGTGGCTGAGCTTGAATATCATCGGGGCCTGTGCAAATTTGCTGATGTTGCGGTTTCTGGCGTGATCTCGGTCCGACACACGCCTGCATGATATTGCTTTCCCGTGCAACCTTCAAAGCTTAACTCTGGGCGGGAGATTCAACCAAAGTCTTTGTTGTCGGTTGAACAAGAAGTCAGCCAGCATGGGTTTGCCAGAGAGCCTTCAGAGCCTGACTTTGGGGGGCGTGGTTCTGCCAAAGAATCTCTATTCGTTGACTTTTGGTTGTCATTTCAACCAAAGCCTCCAAAGTTTGGGTTTGCCAAGAGGGCCTTCAAAGTTTGACGTTGGGTCCAGAATCCATAGAGGGTGGGCGTGTGCGCCAACAACCCTTCAAAGCTCGACTTCTGGTGGTAACTTTAAGCAGAACTTGGAGAATGTGACTTGGCCAGAAAGCCTCCAAAGCTTGAGTCTTGGCGGTTGCTTTAATTGAGAGCCTGAATTGTGTTGTTCTGCAAACTTGAAAGCTTGACTTGTGGGGATGACTTTGACCAGAGCTTGGAGGCAGTATGAGGCAGTAACTTTTCCAGAAAGTCTTCAAAACCAGAAGTTTGGTCGTGACTTCAACCAGGGCTTGGAGCGTGTAACTTTGACGTTCTGCCGGGAATTCAAACAGATCACGACCTGATTTGGCGCGGGATATGATTAAAATTGTGGGACCAGGGTTGGTCTCCATCATGTGCAGAGGAAACGATTTGCGGTGTTGACTGCTGTCAACGATAATATCAAATCCATTCTAAGGATGATCCCTGAGCTCAGCAAATGAAGCAATATTGTCCATTTTTTTTCATGTGTCAATTTACATGATACACCAATAGTGAGAAATCCCAATTCGACCAGAAAAAGTAGCACACACCATCCTGCAGCTGCAGGTTTATGGTTTATGGCATTGTGTTTACATGACGGGACCCAGAACTTGCTGAAGGATGCGGATTCGAGTTCGTAAGTGGTTCATATTCCCATATGTAAAGCCATATTGGACCCATACATACTGTAAGCCATCTTTAAATCATATGAAAGGTATACTTTCCATATATAACTGGCTTACACTGTGACTATGAACCTGGTCCTTAGGTGCTCCCAAGTATAAACCTCTGAAAACAGAGATGATGCATTAGATAAGATCATGGAGGATTCATGTCGATGTTATTGCAAGGCATTGCAATGCCATGTGATCTTAGTTTATTCTATGCAATCAGATTGTGATATTAAAACATCTTGACATATGTATAGATATATATAGAAAGCATTGAATAAATCTATCCTATATGCACATATATGTATATCTTTTACATAGATACAAGTCTGTGTCCACAACATAGCCTCTCTTCCCCCTTTTTTCATCAGTCAACTTCGGCAGATCCTCTACAACAACCTGGGCGGCTTTGGTCCTGGACATCTCGATCAACCCATGCTGATGCGCTTCGAAAAGACCTGCGCCATCGACGATCAACGCGTGGATCTGGTGGGCCTTGGGATGGCGGGGAGGGTCGGTGGTCGGAACTGAGAGATTTGAATTGTTTATGATATGAAAAAATGTCCCCTAATATCCCATTACATCCCAATATTTAATGGAACCATCAACATTTTGTTTGTATCTTATGTAATTTTTGTCGTTAACACATGGCATTTTTTCGGAATGTTCCAGCTTGGGCACCCTTTCTCACTTGTTCCACCTGAGTTTTTTGCAGGGGTGGTGGCAAGTTTGTCCCAAATTCGCCCCTTACACTTTGACAATTGCAGGAACGGGCGCCAAATTGGTTTATGATTTTCCTTGTCTAACTATAGTATTTGAAGAGATATATCATATATATCTATCTGGATGAATTACAGTGACTTCACTCTGACCTGGAATGATAGGAAACATTCACTTCAACCCCATTTTTACGCAAAATCCGACATCGCATCCGCCGTGCGTTGGACATGTTGGACAGGTGCTTAGTGCGCCCCACGGCTATCATCCGCAGCAGCCCGCGCTCAACGGGGTGCACAATGGGAATGCAGCAGTCAGCGTTGGAGCACCGAGATGAGCTGCATATGGGGGGATTCACTGCTGTTTTTTTGGAGAGAACGAGCAAATTATGGGAATGCTATATGGGATATATATATATACTGTATATATGATATGTATGATATAAGTTATGATACATCCACTGCATCTAACGATACATATTATATATGTACATATGCATATACATATGTATATACATATATACATATACACATTACATGTACATACATATATATATATATATTATGTGTATATATATACACAGAGGTAATGTCAACCTGTCGACCCTTGGATTTTATTCACGCTTGGGCTTTTTACGTGGACGGGTACCGTTTCAGTACCAGACTATCACTACTTGGGGGTGAACTTGATCAACCAGGGCTTACTATTCCTGGGTTTGGCTATAAGATGGTTTGTTAATCCATCTAACTACCCACCATAAATCGCAGTTCATCTAGTTAGAAACCAGCTAGACGCAAGGCTAACTATGGGTGCCCTTCGCGTAGAACAGGGTCGTTTCGTTCAAAAAGACATATTTTTTCAATAGGGGAAGCCCCAACATGGGATAATCAAAATTCGGCCACGAAACATGGAGAATGCAATGAATGCAATGGCATTTGAATATGTAACACATTATAACACCTTCAAGTCATTCGGGTGACCCACACAAGGCTAATGCAACGTAGTTAGTACGGTAGTATTTTTCTACGACGCTGAAATCATCCAGTGACGGTCCATAATTTTGAGCCATGCCTGAGATTAGATTAGTCGAAGATCAGCGCAAAGCGAGGGATAATTCAACAATATGTACCCTCTGGTTATTTAACATAGCCATGGAAAATCACCATGCTATTAATAGGTAAACCCAGGTAAACCATCTATTTCTATGGGCCATGGCTTCCATGGCTATGTTAGTCACAACCAGAGGGTAACTTTTGATACCTTTTGGGCTAGTCCAGATGAATCAGCAGGGGTTGGCAATTCTGGATCAGTGTTGCCGCCGATGAGCTGAAGAAAACCCAATTTTGGCCAATACCAGTTGTACCCTCCGGTAATGACTAACATAGCTATAGAAAACAGCCATAGAAATAGTTGACTTACCCAGAAAAAATATCAAACAATGGTGATTTTCCACAGTTTGCTGGTAAACGTTTACCAGAGGGTAACTTTTGCGCAGTCTGACTGCACTGATTCACCAGCAAGGGTTTTGATTGGTGCACAAAAACCTGGTATATTTTTCAGGATAGTCTGTAAGAACTCCTTACACGCACGGAGCGCACGGGGCTCTCTTAAAGTTCACCGCTTGCAGCGATTGTTGGTCAAACCATGTCACCCTTAAAGTACCCAAGATTAATCGACAATCCATATCATACTTAACTTAGATTCTTGAGAGAACATAGTAACATAAATTCAGAAAGCGCGGATTTTTTTTTTTTACATCTTAAAATCCTCTATATCTCCATATAATTCCATATCTTATTCCAAATAACATGATCTCCATAGAATTCACCAGTTAAAAAAAACACCAGTTGCCATGACCCGTCTGACCCACGCCGCCACCGAAAAAAAACCGTCCAAGGTGGCTGCTGGAACATCGGTGGACTTGCGTTTGCTGCTGACCACACAGTCGGGACATCAGGCAGAAAACGCATGTGGTGGGTTTCTGGATGAGGACATTTCACCGGGAGATTTCCCTGGTGAATTGCCAAGAAAAGTGCTTGCGGCAAGGCCAATTGTTTGTGAAGTTGCTGTGTGAACTAGGCTTCAAAAAATGGCTTACCCTCTGGTAACTTAACGTAGCTATGGAAAATCACAATTTTTAGTGGGAAAACTCACTATAGATGGCCATTTTCAATAGCTACGTTAAATTACCAGAGGGTAACATGGATTAACATCTTCAGTCGGGTTTTGACACTAAGTTATAACATCTTCGCTGCGGCTGTGGATCCACACGAAGTTGGAAATCAGCCATCAATCAGCCATCAATGGGAAAATGGAGAACCCCCTATAAATTAATGGATATCTATTTATGGTATGATTTATAAATGGTATAACATTGGTATTAAATGGGAAAGTCATCTATAAATATCTATAAATGGAGGTTTAAAGCTGGGAGAATCCCTAAAATCGATAGAAAATCTCTCTAAATAGAGGTTCTGTTCCCTGGGAAAAGTCCTTATCGACTTTTTTTTTGGAGAATTTCGCGAGGCAGCTGACAGATCTGACAGGTATAGCCCAATAGGACGGTGCCCAGTGATGTTTGTTGGTTAATATACGTATGGTTATATAATATACACTGGTTAGTAATGGTGAATAATGCTGAATTGTGGTTAATAATGGGATATTAATGGTTAATACTCTGGTTGGTGGTTTGGAACATGAATTTTACTTTTCAATCTATTGGGAATGTCATCATCCCAACTGACGAACTCATATTTTTCAGAGGGGTTGAAACCACCAACCAGATAGTTATATCTACCATAAACCATAGTTAAGCTATGTTAAGCCACGTGTCAGGCAATAGCGTACCCTATCCAACGGGGGCCCCATCCTGAATGTATGTCTCAACATGGATGATGGGATCTGCATTCAACGCTGCCAACCAAGCCTTGCCGGTCTCCATAAATATATGACACGTGGACTGGTGGATTTTTTGAGGAATCATTTGAATAGTGGTGAGCATGTTTCATTGCTCCTTATTTGAATAATTTTTGGGAGCCATTTTATTCCACTTTTCGGGAATACATAGGAATGCCAGTTGTAGAATGGTTCGCCCCACTCATATGGGTTCACCAATTATATTGGTTTCGTCCTAAGCATATCTTTATGGCGAGCCACTTGATGATCCGAATGAAGTCAGGATGGATAGTTTGGAATGATGCGAGGCCATAGAATATATCACATTATATGACCCAGTTCGGGGAAGTGAAACCACCCAGTTGCGAACAAAAAATGCAACTATATATGTATATATATGCTTCTACTGGAGTTGATGGTTCATATGGTTCATACTCCCGTTTGGTTGATTATAGCAGCAATCAAACTTGCATGGCTGGGTTCAATGGACATAGAACATTTTTATTTGGGTGGAAGCGTTTGGGCCTTTGGGCGTCCATTTTTTGTTGGTTGATGTTGGTTGATGTTGTCGCAATATATCGTACACAAATTTATACTTATTTTCACGAGGTCAATGATGCTAAAGTGATTGGATATGATTGATTTTTGGCACACTTATCTTCGGATGAACCCACAGTACCGAATGGGTTGTTGGATGTTGTTGGTTTTGTTTTCGCAAAGATTCTTCTCCGAAAGTCGCTTTCGCCTGATCTGCAGGCAGTTTCTTTCCCCACTGCAGGCGACGCCAATGATGCTCTCCAAACTTTATGTGTCCATCTTTGACCAGGAGGCCTGAATGGTCAGGAGGGATTGTCGTCCGGGGTTCAGAACTTGTTTCGAATCAATATACAATCTGGTAAACGTTTACATAACTATGGAACATCACCATGCTATTAATGGCTAAGTAGATCAACTATTTCGACTGGGCCATTTTCAATAGCAAACTGTAAACGTTGAGGGCTGCTTGCTTGGGATAAGTGATGACTTTCATCTTCTCTTTTGATTTCACCCTAAAGAACACGTGTCATACACCACCCAGTCGACTCGGAATGGTAAACATACAACCGATAAATTCATGGTAATGACTGGGGGATGGTTTATGGCATTATTTTCACATTAAAATCTTTAAACCTGCTTAAACGTGAGCCACTACACCGTCAGAATCTTGACGAACTATAGCGACCACTTCAATCCACAGTGCATCTAGAGGAACTAGGATGTGAATTCAACGAGGTGAAGCACATGTACTCGCGATTCGAAAGGGTTTGAACATCTGGAAATAGTGGTTGTATCACGGTTGTATCCATTTTGCTGTAGGAAGCACCATTATTTTCTTAAGTGCTTCTACTGGGATCATCCTGGTAGGAAAATTGAAGCCGGAAAACCCCATGATCTTAATGGTAAAAACCTGATGTTTCCAGTTGAGATTTTCCCTAGCAAACCAATCCAATGTTGAATGTTGTTGGATTTAATACTGTCATTTTCTCTTCTGCCTGCGCAGATGTTGAGATGTTTGTTATTTGCATCTTTGTTTTCTTTTGCGGTCGTTGTACGTATAACATCCCGCAGTAGTTGTTTGTTGTCTTATCCCCTGTTGTTCGTTTATATGACTCGTTCTTGTTTAGGCAGATACCAGTTTTGCAGTTTTTGTCAAAATTATACCAGTTTTGCACAGGATCAAACTTAACAAAGTTTCTTAGTTTTCTCTTTTTGTCAAGTTTGCTGGTTATAATCCCAGAATTGAAGGGCATATTTGCAGGTATATCTGGATTTCCGGGGGTCAAAAACCATGGATTTCCTGTAACTTTTCCCTGCGATTTTAATCCATGTAGTATCGTATTTTCCTGATGACATCTCAATTTTCAATGGTTCATATTTCATATCCGACATATCCTTAAGCCCCCATTTTGAGCGGTTGAAGTATGTTGAATTCCCAAATTCACATCCTTAAAATTCATCAACTTCCCAATTTTTAGTGGGGGAAGTCCCATTAGTCCTAGGAACACATGGGGATTTCCCAAAATGGGGGCACCCCAATAGCTGAATGGTTTATTTCATGGAAAATCCATCTATAAATGGATTGGTTTAAGGGAAAAATTTACAGGCAAACCCCATATGTCAAATGGGAACATCTTCCTGGTTTCCGGTTCCGACTTTTTCCGATTCTCCCACCAATCCATTGAATTTATGGATGAAAAATGGGATACCCCCCATGAATTTATGGAAACCTCCACATCCCCCAAGCACCATTGGTGGTCCGTGCGCCACAGCGCGCCGTACCCCTTTAGGACGGTCGCGGCCTGTCGGGCCTCGGAAAGGTCGCGGTACGCGGCTTTGAGGTGTGCAGAGCGGCATTTTTCTTGGGTTTATCATGGTTTTTATAGCTTTTTACTGGGTTTTTATACCTTTCTATTGGCGTTATAATGGTTTATTGGGTTTTATTGAGTTTTATTGGGTTTATATTATATACCATTTTACTGTAGATCATATGAGCAGTGGTCGCTAAACCCCTGTTGGTTGATGATTAGTTCGGGGATTATACTTCCTAATAGATTAGGAATTGTAATAATCCAATATGGGGAATCCCTATAAACCAACCAGTATAATGGAATGACAGAGGGATTTTGAACACTGCTCATATCATGAATCATGTTCCATCATTTTCCCAGCATTTTCCCAATTTTTAGTGACAAACCTTAAAGGTTTGTGCAGCTTAAACCATGTTAAACCCAACCATTTTAATGTGAGAAAGCCAACAGGAAATCAACCACATGGGGATGAGCTACCACCTGTTTATAGTGATATTTTTTTTGGGATCATTTTAAATTAGATCTACCTTTTCACTGTATATCCCTTTCCATCATTTTCCACTATTTCCCAGTTTCTTTCTTGGTGAAACTGTGGAGATCACCAACACAGCGGATGTGCATCCCAGGTTTTGAAACCCAGGGGTGTTGCCTATAAGTGAGGTACAAAATGGCTATTAACCATTTACTGACTGGGATGCAAGCCCAACACACACACATACATATATATATATATATATTTAATATTATATTTACATATACAACTATATCTCTCTCTATATATATAATAACTATAATAACTATGTATAGAATAACTATATATATAATAACTATATATATATAATAACTATATATAGATAATAACTATATATATAATAACTATATATATATAATAACTATATATATAATAACTATATATATATAATAACTATATATATATAATAACTATATATATGTATAAACTATACATATAATAATCAATATATATATATATATATGATAACTATATATATAATAACTATATATATACATATAATAACTGTATATATATATATATATATGATAACTATATGTATAGCAACTATATATATATTAATATACACACATAATAGCTATACACATATAACTATATATATATATATGTATGTATATATATATATATGCAACAATCCAGGTGGTGATCTTCGCCAATGGCACGCGCGTGCCCAGCTGGACCTTGCCCAATACCGAGCAGCATGGGGCCGGGAAGCTGAGCGAAGCTGAGCGAGTGGCGATAATCGGGACACCCATTGACACCGATACTTGTGTTGTATGTATACAGGATGGGGCCCCCAAGATAGCTAAGTTGCCTAAAAAAAGTGGCTGAATTCTATGGTTTATGGTATATAACTATAGTTCATGGGGTTTATACACCAACTTATAACATCTTATATATAACTGAGGGGCCCCATCCTGTATGTTGTATGTATACTTATGAAGTTTACCCTCCAGTAAACTGACATAGCTATGGAACGTGGCCATTTATAGATGATTTAGCTACAACATAACAAAACATGGTGATTTTCGATAGCTATGTTAGTTTACCAAAGGGTATGATATTTATGATAGTTATGACTTATGACATTTCTGACATTTATATATATGATATTCACGGGGTTTTAGCCAATTATCTCAAGAAACAAATCGGACCGTTGGGCCGATTGACCAAACATGTTCTTCAAGCAGATTGGAAGCACCAACCAGCCGCCAGTTTCAATGTTTCAATTTTAGATTCTCACTGATTACGGAATCCGCTGGAGCTATGCCTCTAAGCTATTTTTGGCTTCACACATTTTGACAAGTGTTTTGACCAGCACTGACAACAAGTCTTCCTTTCCAACATCTGGGTATGGGTCCCAATTTACGCGCCACAAATCAAAGAGTTTTGATCATTCTTCATTGTCAAATCGAACCTCAAAATGCACATGCATCACCCGCAATATTTTTGGCTGAGCACCAGTTCATCCCTCCCCTGAGAGAATATTGGTTTCACAACGAGCTTATATAGCAGTATATTTCACATGGGTCTCAAAACATGTTTGCCCCAAGAACAATAATCCATTTACTGTATATAATTCTGTCAACCCAAGACTTGATGTCAGACAAATATCGATCCGTTTTCCGGAATGAATATGTTCTGCATTCATGGCTGTTGTTTCTTCCATTGAACAACAATTCAACCCACAAGTTTATCCTGATTACCCTCTCAACTTTCATTGAAGAGAAAATCCATAACCTCCATTCAACACCTGTAATTTTTTTTCATCAAGCAATGCCAAATCATGCTATAAATGTTCATAGTGTTTTCGATTCAAGACTCACAATGCATTGGGATTCACCCAATGCCACAAATGATCCACAATATTGCCATCCATTTTTACGGGTGGTACTGTAACTAGGATTACCGTATATCATCATCATCATCATCATCAACATCATCATCATCATCATCATCCCCAGTCATGGTAGGTTGGCAGCAGCCATGATGAATCAAAAACATTTTTCGGAGATTAACCATGGGGATCATATTGGTAAATATCAACCAAACATTGTGGAGTGAATCCCACATTAAAACATTATTTGGAAATCATATCAATATCTCTCTCGCTTTCCCTCTATATGTACATTTTACCTGGCGCATACAATGTATATACAAAAATATACATATACATACAATGTATATACATAATTATACACATTCATATACATTCACATACATACATACACACACACATATATATATATATATACATAGACATATCAACCACATTCTTGGGATGAGAGTTTGATCCCCAGTCCAACCCTCCGCTTCCTCTCCGCGCAAGCGCTCATCGAGGCGTGGGTCGTGCCGGTGGGGCCCAGAGTGCTCTTCCTCTTTCGCTACGTCACCAAGTTGGTCATCACCTTGGCGGCGCCCGAAGGCCATCGGTGGACATCTGGGACCTTTTTGGGACCCCAAAGGGACCAATTTGGGACCTGGAAGAAAAAAATGGGAAGCCGCAAGAAAAGGCATGGAAATTGGTGGATCTATGGAAAAATCACTGGAAAAATAGCGGCTGAACCATGGAATTTTGAACCTCAACTATGGGAATTGCGGATCTATTTCTGATAGGGACAGCTGGGTCATTAGCAGGTGAAACTCTGAGTTTGCTGGAAAATTCACCAGTGGTTACGTGGTGCATCACACTTAGCCAGCGGTTATTTATTTATTTATTTATTATTTATATGAATGCATACACATCTATACATATGTGGAATATCAGCTTCCACATGTGTTATCAACCACTTTCTAACAGTATTCTGTACAGTATGTTTTTTTTTTTTTGCGACTATCAACGTATGATTTTTTTTTGTGTTAAATATATAGGTATTGCTATGGTATAGTACTAACTAGCTTTTAATTGGATCTAACTGGATACTATCCCCCCTTTACTCGTGCGTTTTGATCTCCCCATGGGATTAAAACGTTCCGGGGCGGCCGCCGGATGCTGAAGCGTCAGGTGGACATACCTTTTACATCTCCCTCCATACGCCAGATGCTGAGGCGCATAACCAGAGTTTATGGTAGATATGGAGGTTTCCCAACATTTTGAGGTACCCCAAAATCCCAAGTCACCATGGGTTTCTAAGTAACATGAACTACTGACTTGGATGATTTGGGGTGCTATCCCTATTTTAGGACACCTCCAACTATTTGAACTGGGCCCACTAAAAAGCTAGAAACATGCCGGGGGTACCTTGTACACATGGCATGTGCATGATTGATGAGGCGGTATCATGATGATTCTCGGTAAATCATGAGATATTAGATCGACCCCACGACGACTGCAATATAAATCATGTTTAGGATGCTGAGAACCTCCTGGAAAAATCACCACAGTTTCTTGGTTGGTGAATCCTGATCATTTCAGCCAGATGGGTTCTGTGAAAATAGGGCACCCCCAAACTCCAATTATGATCGACCTTGGTTGATGGTGGATGGCCGAGTCCAACCTTGCAACATATCGTAGTTCACCGGTGACTGCTGAATCAAAACACCGCTGAACGGAAACTGGGTGAATCGTGTAAAACCCGTCGTTTTTTCCCACCTATCATAACCATCATCTTTTGTCAATGATATCCCCATATGTTTGATGGTTTGAACCCCATAAAACCACATAAAACCAGCTAAAACTATATAAAACCATATAAAAGGAACATAAAACCACATAAAACCATATCAAACCATGTAAAACTCAGATGATGGTGAAGTTCCTACTACCACTAAACCACTACGTGGGCTTTTGGGCTTTTGGCGCCAGGCCTACACCGAATCAAAGACATCAAAGACTCATTGGCACCGGTCAACGGCTCCAGCCCTGGAAGGACCGGTGGAGCGGTGCAGCTGATCAATGGATGGCACAGAAATTCACAAAAACAATCCATGGTTTTTCCGCCATGTTACCTCAATTTTCTATAATATATGTATATATGTATATATGTATATATGTATATATGTATATATGTATATATGTATATATGTATATATGTATATATGTATATATGTATATATGTATATATGTATATATGTATATATGTATATATGTTGGTTTGTCACCATTTTCCATAATTTTCCAGATATATGATGGATACCCCCCCAAAAAGAAGATAGATTTTAGCTCTTTTCGAGATTTTTTTCAGTATTTTTGTAGGAATTCACTTTCCGGCATGAATTTTGGGGTTGCTATATGAATGACATATGATGAGAAAAACATGTTTGTTTAACAACCAAAATGCTTGGGTTGTATGATGTTATGATCTATTTGTTGGATTTTGATGGTAGGTAAACACATAGTGACTGTGCATACTTCCTATTGATGATTTTGGGTGTGGACATTATGGCAAACACCTGAAGACTGGGTGTTCAGTTTCTCGACGCCTTTAATGATCCAAACTAAGATCGCTATGGCTTTGGATAAACCAGCATTTATAGATCATGTTCAATGGGAACTGAGGGATTTCCCATAGCAGTGTGAAAACATCATTGGAATGATGGGTTTTGTACTGCTAGGGGGTAAGTGGTAACTGTTCCAACATGACCATTTTTTTAAAGGTTTGGTGAATATATGTATATATATATATACTAATATTAAGATCTAGTATATATCCAGAATGCAGACCTTTTGTTTCTACTTTTTCTTTCATGGAGCCGGACGTCTTGGTGCCTTGATAAAACGTGTGAGGGCTAGAGATAGATATCCATCATTTGATGAGGTGGATAGCTTCATGACGTGTAATCTCTGGCCCTTTGGATGGAGGTAAATTCAGGTAAATGATATACTACCCAGCTTCTTCTTTTGCAGGCTATTTGAGTTTATCTGGGTAACATTTGACACCCCGAAATCAATACAGGATATTTTATCTTTAAAGACTACTGTATCTTGTCATTCATGTATTTTAGATGTGTACCTAATGCCTAAGGTCCAAATCACAAGTGTTGATGAATGGTGGGCCACTTGCCTGTGTTTTGCAGGTCATGTTTGGACTTTTAGATATTTTCATTGGTAGTAATTTCGACGATTGATTGTTGGTGCTCTGACCCCAATTTTGATGCATTCTCAGACAGGGATGAGGGTGATTTTTCCAGGATACCCTTATATCTACTGGTAAACATTCGAATTTCTTGTGATATTTCCAACTAAACGAACCCAATGATGTTTGTGATGTCGGGGACCGTGGAGCTTGCTCAAGGGCGCGCCTGAAGAGCGTGTCAAAAGGTCAAGCTATTGAATGCCCTTCAAAAGTGAATGCTTTCAGCATTTTCCAGCAGCTAAATGATAGGGAATATCACCAACAACAAGGGAATAGAACCTCTGGCATGGAAACTCCCTCATATTTAGATAATTTTCATATGAAACCAACATTTGGATAGGATTTTCAATTGTCATGTTTGATTCCCAGAGGGTACTGACCCTGGATTAACTGGTTATCACTGAATTTGACAGCATGATGTGTGACCCTGGTCACAGCCTTGCAGCCTCACCCTGGACAAGGCTCAACACATATTATGTACGTCGAAACACATCCTCCAATCTCCTTCACTATGTGACTAGTCAAAATCAACCCCACATTGAATAAATTTCTACCCCAGTCAGTCTGGTTTTCATGATATCAATAGATCAATCATCACATAAGCTATGCGACCTACTTACCCCATCTGATATAGGGATTCTTACTATCTCTTGAGAATGTGCCAATAAACAATTCAGTACTGGTACCCTCAGGTAATTTAACATAGCTATGGAAGCCATGGCCCATTGAGTTCAATGATTTACCTCTTCTTTTACTGATGATTTCAATAGCACACTGATGCATACTGAAACAATTTACCAGAGGGTATCTCACAGAATTCATAACCATAAGAAAGAAGAACAACTATTCCCATCAAAAGCAACCCTAGTAAGAATGAACATTTTTATTCCACGACTTTCATGAGATTCGACCCCCCAAAAAACACATACCCCACATGATCCCTGGCGGCCAGCGCGCACAACGCTTGCGCCATGCTGGGCCGCTTCCGCCCGCCTGCGTGGCCCTGGCTGACGCGGCCGCTGCCAGTGCCGATGCGTGTGCGACGCCGCGGAGCCTGCAGCAGCCTTCGGGGGTTGCAAAAAGGTGGGGAAAGTGGCTGGATCCCAAACAAAAGTGGTGGATTTATATACTAACATAGCTATTGAAAACGGCAATTTATAGTTAGTTTTCCCAATACAAAATGATGATTTTCCATAGTTATGTTAGTTTACCAGAGGGTATCCGATATAATGTCAACCCTGGATTAATAAACATCGTTTACGGTTGTTTAATTGGGGGGGATATCATAAAAAAGTATCATTGTGACTATTTGGAGGGTACCCCCACAATTAATAAACCATGGTTTATTAATCCGGAGTTGACATTATCTGAGATTCTAGCTTCGCCTTTTGGGACTATGTTTTTTCCGGTTTTGCACTATATTTAGTGACATGCATGATTTTTTTTGGCACTCGGGGTTTGGTTATTAATTTGCCGGCTTGCTGGCCACTGGGGGTTGTTTGCTCAAAAGATTGGTGGGAGGAAGTTGAGTTTTATTCATTAGATTCATTATCAAATAAGTGCTGGTTAAAGATGGTTAAAGTAAGCTATTTTTGGCCATTCAAGTTTGATTAGGCAGCGGCATTTGGGGAATGCAAACTCGAGCCAATAAAGAACATCAATTGCTTCTGAGATGGTTGAAATCTATTTGGCAGTTTTAGTTGCAGTTGTCATCGCCATTCTTCAATGTTTTTCTTACGTGCCTGAATGGTGTTGGTATATTTTTGGTGCAGTGAATGCTGCATGGTTACTTGCAGGTTGTCAAATTAATTTAGCAGTCCAGAAAAAGATCTTCTGTAGGAGCATATTCAAAGAATTGCCCCTCAAATGTTTGAAACTATAACGAAATCTGGGCCGTGATGGTCCCCAGCTGCCGGGTCTGAGGGTTGCAGGTGGGTTGGATGAGAAACAGCTGCTTTCACAAGCTTAAGCATCAACTCTTCCTGTCCTGGTGAATTTGTTTCCCAAAAAACATAGAGGGTACTTTAGTGAATGGATGTTATTTCATGAGGTACAAGGTAACATTCTATAACATCCATAACATTCTGGTACCTCTTGGAGCCGTGGAATACAAAAAACGGGGGCGCCTTTGCCATCGCCTCCACACCTATGGCGCCTATGCATGGGAGGTTGGAGGAGCCTTGGTACTACGGCTAGTACTGGTATTTGTAATATAAACGTTACTATTACTTTGTTTATTATTATATCTTACTGTTACTACTGCTGCTGCTGCTACTACTACTACTACTAGTACTAGTACTACTGCTACTGCTACTGCTATTACTACTACTACACCTTCTACTACACCTTCCAAACCTTAATTACTTTTACACCTATCACTGCCTATCACTATCGTAGTGCTAGCACTACTTCTATTGCTACTATTATTGCTACTACTATTACTACTATTATTACTAGTACTACTAGTAAATTGCTACGGTTACGGCTACTGCTACTACTGCTACTACTACTACTACTCCTCCTCCCACTAGTACTACTAATCCACTTTGCTGGTTCTGGTCGGCCTGATGATCAAACCATGGCGAACTGGTGAACCCACCTTTTCTTAGAAACTTTTGCCGCTTCCCTGTGTCCCGTTTGACCTAATTGGAACTGATATTAAGAAAGCTACTTGTCCACAAAACCACTTTGAGATTTTTGCCCCGCAAGCTATTTGAAGTTTCAACATACGTGTTATCACTGTAATAACCCAGATTTTCTCCGTTTTCTTTACTTGCTTCACCCAAAAAAACAAAAAATTGGGTTGAAAGGCAAAAACCATCCCATAGCCCTGGATTCCTTCAGTTTTTTCGCTAGGGCCCACATTCCATGCCAGGATTTATATTGGATTTATCTGTCAAATATTGAGGACTTCCAAAGAAAATGAGCGATTTTACCATGGTTTTACTGTTGGGAATTGGGAATGATTTTTTTCGCAACAAAATATGTTGATTCACAATCAATTGATTTTACAGGTCAGTTGGTTGAACAGGTCATGACGAAGTGTTGGATTTATGGTGGAGATATCGAGTGAAACTTCCGCTGGGATTGGATGATTGGACTGTTTGATCTGGCAAGGTCACTTGCTTCACCAGCCAAAACGGTGATTTTTAGGGGATCTAAGCCAGTCTTTTTGATTTCAGTATTGGTGGGTCGTGATTCATCCCTTATGACTGGGATAGGATAGTGTGTTTTTTTTAGCCAAATTACCAAACATTTCTTTGTTAATTAGTTGATCCTTCGATCGGTCGATGGATTCATCTGTGGAACAAACGTATTCGATGGTTTTTCCAAGTTGTTCCCCCTATTCATGAAGGATCACAGGTGTTCCAGCTATTTATGACGCACATGTGGGATACACAATAGACTATGCGGGAAGTATATATATATATACATCAATTGAGGACGCAACCATTTCCCAGTGTGATGGAACCCCACTGTTTTGGCTTTGAACATGTCCCATTTTCTGTGCTTCATCCCCATTTTGGTTGGGAAGACACCATGGTTTGCCGCTGTTCTACTCCCCTGGGCTTATACACCTGGGATGATCCTTGAAGACTGTAGATGCTTGATACCTGGCTGAAGACGGCTGGACTGTATACAAGGTAGTAACTTAGCCTAACTTGCCTGGCTTTCGGTGACTTCACTGGATAGCTATTTCATATCCTGCAAACCAACTTTTTACAGGGGTATCACTTGAAGACCCTTTACTGGTAAGACTGGGATGCAGTACATCAAGGAAGACCCCATTCTGTTGATATACCCATCATCTGTTGAGTGAATCCCTGCCCGGTCTCCAGTCACCTTTCCCCAGCAGGTCGTTTGTGCGCCGTGCCCCTGGCAGTAACGGCTGTGGTCAAACGCTGCCGCGCCGAGCGGCGCGGTTCTTCTTCGCTTGCGGCGCACAAAGGCGACGACCACATCCCAGTTGGGCGATTGAAAATACCTCTGTTGATGGGTTAATATGGCTATGGATCAATACCTATTAATACCATTTTTTAGTGGGATGAACATCCATTTACCAGCTATTTTGATGTGAACTACAGGGGTACAAGGTTTTGACACACTGCCATATCAAAGGGTTGTAGCTGGTTTATTGCGGATTATTCCAGTCCAGTTAGATCCACGCTTAGACTTATTATTTGGTACCGCAAGCTAATATAGCTATTGAAAAGAACCAGTTGAATAGGTAAGTGATCTATACATGCGTCATTTTTCATAGGTATGTTGTTTATTGGGACTTATTCTAGCCCATTTATTGGGGATTATGAATATTATGATAACCCATAGGGAAAGCTATATCAACCAACTAGTATTTCATGAGGTTTGGGAAAACGGGGTATTTTGAATCGCTCAGTATCTGTCTCTGGTACCCTGAGGTAAGCTAACATGGTCGTGGAAAAAAAAGAACATGGGGAAATCTGTTCGGAAAATGATCTGCAAAAATCGTGGGTAAAACCCACATTTTTGTTAGTTCAGAAGGGTAATCTAATATGGCTATGTAAAACCAAAATCACCGTTTTAAATAGGTAAATCATAGACACATTTGTAAAGTGACCATTTTACATAGCTATGTTAGATTGACTGCTTGAGGATAGTATCTGGATATCACAGTCACGCTGAATTACCAATTCTCTTCTACCACAAAGGATATCCAGAGACTGACTGATATCCAGGGAAACTAGTGATTATAAATGATTACAGTATAATGAATGGGAAACAGTGATATCCGGATATCCCTTTTGCAATACTCCACTATTCATTACAGGTGCCCATTAAAACTTGGTTCACCACTATGGGTTTGTCTGGAAACAGGGTACCTCAAATCCAATGGTTTATCATTGGATGTTCCCTGTTAAAATGGTCATTTGGAGGCATACCCGACGTTAAGACGCACCAAATCCATTCTTCACTGGTTAAATCTGGTCAAATCTCAATTGTTTGACGCAAACAAATCCCGCAGAAAATCACCATTTTTCACGGCCAAATCATGTTAAATCTCCACTTTTCATACAAAACTCATTACTGATTACTGTAACGCCCCTGAAAGCTATGGCATCTCCAGGGGTCATCATTTCAGGTGCCGTGGATCACTATGGTTTGCTGGGCCTCCGGCGTTTCACCCATGACGCTACGGAGATCCAAGCGGCATATCAGGCAGCGCGGCATGTCGCGCAGGCGAGGATCGGATGTGGTTTATAACTCATATGTATAACTTAGTTGTATAATGTAACCATCACTAGGTTAGTCAATATGACCATCACTACCCTCTGGTTATGTCAAAATAGCTATTGAACATGGCCATAGAAATAGTGGATTTACCCAAAAAAGAAGGTGATTTTTCCATAGTTATGTAAACGTTTACCAGAGGGTAACTCATATGGGGGTTTCCTATAAAATAGTGGTGCCCCAAATCATCCAAAAATAGACCATTTTAGCATTGAAACCCATGGTTAAAATGGGTAGCCCCATTTTAGGAAGCCTTCATATGCAACTGGCAATATTCATAACCAGGGGTATACTGGTGTATAATCTGGTTGTTACCCACTAATTAAGTGGGAGGCAGCCCCGAGCTTTTGAGCAGGGAAGGTATCGATTTTGACTGTCGGAATTTGCTGTTGAACCGTCACAAATGATAAGAAGTAGGGATTTAAGCACCAAAAATAGGGTAAACTGATATATAATGGGATTTTTCATGGGGATTTTTCATGGGGATAATCTGGAGTTGGCTATAGATCAAGTGGCTTGATACCCTCTTGGACCGGCCCTGGCTATCGATCGGTGGATTCGGTGGCCTCATTTCTCGGGATCTCAGCCACCTTTTTTCTTCAATCGCAAAAAAGGATACCAAAAGACCTTCCATTGTATCCCAGAAATGGTTAAATGGTCTCAAAACATAAACCCAGATTTTTAGATCTTTGGCGACTTGAACACACCATAAATTCAAGCATGAACAAATCCTCAACATCCCAACGTGAACACACCATAAATTCAAGCATGAACAAATCCTCAACATCCCAACGTGAACACACCATAAATTCAAGCATGAACAAATCCTCAACATCCCAACGTGAACACACCATAAATTCAAGCATGAACAAATCCTCAACATCCCAACATGAACACACCATAAATTCAAGCATGAACAAATCCTCAACATCCCAACCCAGTGACCATTGTTTACAGATGATCTCCTAAATCTCAAACATATTCAGAAATTATCTCATCAGATATACAGTAACCATTTTTGTTAGATATCTGATATCACCATTTCTATGTTGGTAAAGACGTCAATTTCTTTTTTTAATGTTCTTTTACCCACAAGGTATCCCATAATATGTTCCTACGATACATGTTGGTAAATATTGGATGCTATCAGATCTCATGAGGCAATATATACCAAGAATTTGGGATATAATATATGGATACTTAGATACTTAAATGGTGGTTTGTGTGAAAGCTTCAGTCATGCATGAGATGTAGGTCATTGAACTACTTTAGGAAAGGTAGATCATAGAGAGGCCTGCATATATGTATAATATATATATACACACTTATATATACCATTTGGTTATTTAACATAGCCATGGTATAGATGGCCCATAGAAATAGATGGTTTACCTATAAAAAATGGTGATTTTCCATGGCTATGTTAAATAACCAGATGGTATCTGGATAAATTACAGTTACTTCACTCTGACCTCACTTTTACGCAAAATCCGACATCGCAATAATCCTTCCCATTGACCAATATTTTTCAGAGTGGTTGAAACCACCAACCAGTATATATATATATAATATATATATATATTATACATATACCAACATATTGGTAAATCTCCCCAGAAATCTGCAGGAGCTGAAGTCCAGCCCTGCAGTCCTGCAACGTTTGGAGGAGGCCATGAAGGTACTCGAGAACGAGGAGCCTGCAAATAAGGGGAAGGGCCTGAGACGACTGGGTTTAAAAATTGGAGGATTTCATGGGATTTCATGGGATTTCATTGGGTTTACCACTGAAAAAGTGGGATTTGATGGGGGTAAACCGCAGTAAACACTTGGATTTCATGGGGAATTTGCATCACAGATGGGGGCATAAAAATTGGGATTTCACCGCTGAAAAAATGTGGAAAACCCATGGGGGAAGCCGAGGAAAATGGTCGAAAAAAATGATGGGTTTGTGTTTTCAGCCACTGCCACTGTTTTCACCGACCAGTTCTTGTTTGTTTCTGATGATTTTGTGTATCCTTACAGTACTACAGTACTGTTGTTGTGAGAGTTGAGGGTAATCCTTGACTGTTTGTTTCCTAATTTCTGTGTTCTGTTTTATTTGTTGAATTGTTTCATGTCTAATTATTGCTTCCCTCGGGGGCTTGTTGCTGCTTCTCCACAAACAAACCATCCATTCAAACAACTAATGAAACAAACATGACATACCGCGGTGGTTTCTTGCATTTCGTGTTCTCGGGGTGTGCTTCGGACAATAAAGTGGATATTTCCTATAGGTACTGGTAAGAACCTAGTAGACGGGATATTACTATTGATGTAAACATCCAGCTACAAATCGTTTCTGATCCCATTTGCCACCCCATAAATGGTGATCCATCCACATCAATCGCATATTTTCATCGCGGGATTTGTCCTGGTGCTTTTCACCCGATAGACCCGACATGGGAGATGGGTCCCATGCATCAGGAGCAGCGCGAGCACTATGATGCGGCGCTCCGAACCACCGCGGAACCAAGCACGGCTGAGCCGGTGCCCAAAGGACAGCTGGCGGCGGAGGCGAATGTGGTGCCTGGCAGTCGCTTGGTGTCTGCATCCCTGGTCTTTATGGGTTACCATCTGGTTATTTGTTACATAGCCATGGAAAATCACCATGCTATTAATAGGTAAACCCAGGTAAACCATCTATTTCTATGGGCCATCTATACCATGGCTATGTTAGTCATAACCAGAGGGTTAAAATGGGAATGAACATGCTAAAAGCTCACGACCAAAGAAGCAGCCTCTTATCTTCATGTGGCCATTCCAAGGTTGCGCTCCCCGAACTCTACGGGGCTTGTGGGTAATTCCTATGCCAAAATCCAATATATATCCATTGATGATATCAGCAATTACTCTAAGTGGGGATATAACTAATTAAACCACTATTTACAACCCACCTGTGAATCAAATTGGATCATCATCTGCTGAAATAGCCAGTAAGTAGGATACACGTCCAAGTCACTACAGTATATATATATACCCTCTGGTTATTTGTTACATAGCCATGGAAAATCACAATGTTTAATAGGTAAACCCAGGTAAACCATCTATTTCTATGGGCCATCTATACCATGGCTATGTTAGTCATAACCAGAGGGTTAAAATGGGAATGAACATGCTAAAAGCTCACGACCAAAGAAGCAGCCTCTTATCTTCATGTGGCCATTCCAAGGTTGCGCTCCCCGAACTCTACGGGGCTTGTGGGTAATTCCTATGCCAAAATCCAATATATATCCATTGATGATATCAGCAATTACTCTAAGTGGGGATATAACTAATTAAACCACTATTTACAACCCACCTGTGAATCAAATTGGATCATCATCTGCTGAAATAGCCAGTAAGTAGGATACACGTCCAAGTCACTACAGTATATATATATACCCTCTGGTTATTTGTTACATAGCCATGGAAAATCACAATGTTTAATAGGTAAACCCAGGTAAACCATCTATTTCTATGGGCCATCTATACCATGGCTATGTTAGTCATAACCAGAGGGTATTTCTTTTTGATGCTTCCTCAGAGGCGCCTTCCCGCCAACCAGTGATCTCCATTTCCAGATTGGCATCGGGATGATTCGTTGATGTTTGGCATGGGGATGTTTGTTCCGGGTTAAAATTTTAAAATGGGAAGTTATACCGCCAATTCCCTCATAATCTTGACATCCTTAGTCCTTATATATATATATAAAATGATAATAGTAATAATAATAATGATAATAATAACAATAATAATAATAGTAATAATATATACAGATATTATATATTATATCATAGATATATATATATATAAATTATATACATTATATTATATTATATATATAAATGGAGATCTCCCCCAGTTGCTATTTATCTACCAAGTTCATTACAACGGTTCAGGGCTTGGAGACGAACCAGCAAAACACGGGAACTGGACCAGAAAAACTCGGATTCCATCAGCAGATATTGGAGAACTTGAGTATACCTCTGGATTTTTTTGGGATTTCACGGGATTTCATGGCATTTCATGGGATTTCATGGGATTCCATCAGCAGAAAAAACCTCGGGATTTTTTTTTGGATTTTTTTTTGGATTTCATGAGATTTTTTTTGGGAGTTCATGGGACTTTTTTTGTGGTTTAATGAGATATTTTGGATGTATAATAGATATCATAGATGTCCGGCTTTCCCATTGGTTGGTTGATGAAAAAAGAGGGGTTTGAAGATTTACCCCTTTAACAACAGGTTTCTATGATGATAGATGGTACGGTATACCAGCTCCCGGCCCCTCTATTTTTACCAAAAGGACATTATTGATAGATATACCCTCTGGTAAATGACTAACAGTTTGCTATTGAAAATGGCCATAGAAAATGAGTGGTATCATCAACGTTCATCAACACTTGGCAAGCTGCGGAAAAAATGGAGATTGCGGAACACCTTTTCCATGATGGAGGTTTCCCGAGTCATAGGGGTACCCCTAGTTCTCATTTTAATGGGATTTTCCATTTTCAATAAACCATGCACAACTTAAGGGGTACCCCCATGACTATGGAACCCCCCATGGCTATGGAACCTTTCCTTCGGCAGTTGCCAAGGTCAAAAAGTCTATGTGAAGACCTTCGGGTGTCAACACAACCAATCCGACGGAGTGCCTTGGCACCGGAACTGAACTGTACCCGCTGGGAATTTAACATTCCATTCAGAAAGCATTCCATGTTTGGGTAAATCATGATAACTAAACATTATTCCAATTTATTGAATCATTAATGGGCTATATATTAGATCATTACCCCCTGGTAATGACTAACAGTTTGCTGTTGAAAATTGCCATTCAGTTCGTTGAATTACCCTGTAAAAATGGCCATTTTCCATAGTTATGTTAGTTTACCAGTATACCCGATTGATTGATGAAGCCACTGTATGCAGTTTTCATGGGTGTGAACATGGTGTATAATCATGATAATCCAATGATAATCCAATGATAATCCAATGATAGTCCAATGATAGTCCAATGATAATCCAATGATAATCCAATGATAATCCAATAATCCAATGATAATCCTAAATGATCCTAAATGGCTGTTTCAATTTGGGAAAAATCCAATGATAGTCCAATGGATTTGAGGGGTACACTATTTTCAGGTCCAAAACCATGGCCGATTCTGCCCGGTGATGAAAATTGGATACCCATTAATATGGACAAATCATAACGACCTCACGACGCGACCTCACGACATTTTGTTGGATTGCGAATGTCAAGTATCCCCAAATTTCACATTTCAGGTTGGGGAAATCTTGTAATTTACCATAATTTACCCAGAATAGGGGATTTCCATTAACTATGCCAATCATTGTTGGTAGTATCATTTTCCCATCAAAATCAGTTAAATTCCATTTTGATGATCATTGAATTATAGGATTCCGCCTGCATCAATACCAACTATCACCAATTCTTGCCAAATAGTGGTGATGACTATGACACTATGATCATGATTTACCAGATGTTACCAGATGATTTACCATCTGGTGAACTAACATAGCTATTGAAAATGGTGATTTATAGTGGATTTACGCATCAAAAATGGTGATTTTCCATAGTTTTTTGTACGTTTACCAGAGGGTACCCACCCTTTTTTGTGATGAACGAGTCATATTCGATTCCTGCAATTCTTTCGGTTTCTGACTCGTCATAGGGGATCCCACTTTGTGACCGCTTGGCTTTTACGAATGGACATCCATGACGACTGGATGAGAACTGGAGGTACCTCCCATGACTCATTGAATTCCAATATGTTTCATATATTTATGATTGGATAATACATGGATTCCAATCATGATATTGGAAAACTATGGAAAACTCCATTTGATTTATGATTTATGAATATTTATGATACAACCCATCTTCGAAATTCCCATTTCTTGAGAGCCATTTTGTCTCAAAATGCTGCGCCAAAAGCTCTGCAATTTACGGCCATTACTCCCTATTATATATATACACAATGTGGGGCCCCTGGTTATAAGTTGGTTTATAAGCCCCAATAACTATAGTTATAAGTACCATAAACCATAGTTATTGGAGTTATAAACCAACTTAGCTATCTAGGGGCCCCACTTTGTATATATAGACTGTTAAATCATTCAAATTCACCCATGAACGGCCCATAAATATCATCAATGATGATCGTTAGTTATATATGTTGTCGACTACTCCTGCAACTTAAATATTTTTTCTCACATGAAGCACCGTACCTGTGATTGACTAAAACACGAAGATGACCATTCATGACTATCAACTACTGATGTTTAGTTGTCATGATTTGCCCATGACCCTCTGTAAACTAACATGACTATGGAAAATCACCATGTTTAATGGGTAAATCAGCTATTTCTATGGCCATGTTCAATAGCTATGTTAGTCATTACCGTGGGGTAATGATTTAGTTATCATGATTTAGCCATTAATGAATTAATAATGATAGTGTAACAATCATTGATGGGTAAATCATCAATAGTTGGCTATTTATTGATGGTTAATGAAAATGGTGTATCATGATTTACCCATCATGTTTATTGTTGTACATGGTGTTCAACCATTAATGAGTTGGCGTCATGTTTACCCATGGTAAATCATTATTTCAAGGTTGGCTACCTCTGGTAATTTAACATAGCTATTGAAAATGGCAATTTATAGTGAGTTTTCCCATTAAAAATGGTGATTTTCCATAGTTTTTTGTATGTTTACCAGAGGCTATTTATTGCCTATACTCCGGGCGGTCAAGGAGTACATGATGGGCCAACTGGCCATGCACGGCTACACCTTGGTCGACTCCCTGGATGCCGCGGACATCTGCGTGGTGAATTCCTGTACCGTGAAGAACCCGGCGGAATCCCGCGGGCTGCACCTGGCCACTGGGCCAAAACGTGGCAATTGTTGGGTTGCCAACATTACCCTCTGGTAAACTAACATAACTATGGAAAATCACAATTTTTAATGGGAAAACTCACTATAAATGGCCATTTTCAATAGTTATGTTAAATTACCGGAGGGTAGATATTCTAATATATTCTAAGAGTAAGAGCTCAAGATCGCAGCGATTTTAGTATCACTTAAGCACAAGGGATCGATTCACCGAAAAAAAGACATGATTTTGCTACATTAGATCGAGAACGGTTGTGAAATATGGCTATGGATCAATACCTATAAGTACCATTTGTAGCGGGATGAACATCCATTTACCAGCTATTTTGGGGGTTCACTAGGTACCAGGGTTTTGACCCATCCCCATATGTGGAAGATTCACCGAGTTTTTGGGACATGTCTCTGATGGACCAAGATCTGCTTGGGGATCCCACCAGCAGAGTCATGGAGCTTTCCGTTTCGGAAAATGGGGGTACCCCCAGTTATCGCATCCATGTAGAGTTCGATGGCTTTTCCACGATACAGAAACCATCCACAACGGTTACGGGGGGTACCCCCATTTTACGAAACGGACACCTCCATTTCTGGTGGATATTTGGCAAAAACGTTACCGAAAATCGCAACGGGGGGTGACAGGAATGATGATTGCCCTGAATTTTCTACCGACTGTGATTTTCTGTCACGACTGTGGTCATTTGGGTGTATTGTTGAGAACTAGAAAATATAAGTTTTTGTGTCTTGGTCAAATTTCAATCCCATGCGTTTTGTGATCCAGATATTTGTGGTCTTTTTTATTGGTATGGACCATACGTTTAAACGGTTTGAGATGATTTCACCATGGAATTAAAAGGGAGATGCAACTGGAGATCGTGGCCCAGGTGAATGAAGCGACCAGGCAAAAGAAGCAGGTGGTCTTGGCCGGATGTGCAGCTGGGATCTAATAGCATGGCTGGACCTGGCAGCTGATGAAACTGGCAGGACTATGGGGAGATCCAGAGGAAACTGGAAACTTCTTGGACTCTAAAAATTGACAGTAAAAGCATTTTTTTTTAAATGTCAATTTTCCTAGCCTCCTTTTGTGAGCAGTGCCCTTTCAATGTTTTTTGCACATCAGAAAAGGCTTGTCGATGTCTGCTACTTCTGTTTTCCTTGGACTAGAACATGTTTGGTGGTTTGCAAGGCTTCTCTGGGTCCATTTTTCAACAAATGCAGACCGGCAGTGGGCTGACCCGCTTGGGAATGATTAATGCGCCGACATGTTGATTTACTCATTTTTTGGGACACATGAACTGTTGTTGACTGTTGAGTTGAGCCATACTTATCATTTCTGTACCCCATTCCATCATTCAGTGAATCATATTCCATCGATGTTTTTTCTTGATACCGTTGTGTGTTTCTTCCCATGGTGCATGTTTGATTCATACTGATTCATACCTATATAATTTGAAACTACCCACTGTCATGTTTACTCCAACTGCTGAGCCTAGTGGATTACGTCGCGCGATCACCCTACCCTATTCATTTCGCCAGGGTATGGGTCAAAATTTAACACCTAGGGGACCACAGATTTTAGTCCATTTTTAGTATTAACCATCCAATTATTGTGGATATTTTTGACCCATACCCAGGTTAACAACCTCTAATCTACTAAGACTGTCAACTCTTTGCTCAAATGATAGATATCTACCAATATACAGTAAAAATCTGTAAAACATACACCCTAGACATAGAAAACCAAAGAATCAGATCAACCATTAACATCTCTCAAGATTTTATCAGGTGCCATCAGGCGACCGAAGTCTGCCAAAGAAGCTTCCTCACGTTCCTCGGGAGTGACCTGCGGGTCGTTCCGGCCAGAGGGCTAGCATTGGAACAATTAGCCATTTGTAATAGGTACAGATAGGTACAGAAAATCATCAATAGGCCAGGTTCATCCGTTTTCCATGGCAAGCTGTTAGTTTACTGGAGGGTATCCAAAGGATATTATCGTTTTGGTGCTTGATGTCCTTTATTGTGTGGGTTGCACCCAGCCAAGCGGTGAGCAATGTTTTGGATTGGTGTTTTGGAATCTTGAGAATACCATGAGATACCCCATAGTCATAGTGACAATCCCCTTCATGAGGAAATCATAAGGTTCCAAACCTGCAAACCACCAATGAACGAGTTGAAATCCCATAAACATGACTGGAGATATTCCATATATATATATATGTATATAGCTGGGTTGTACTATGTTCATCCTTGCCATTATTGATGGTTCAATCCCATCAAAAGAAGCAGTTAGATGGCTTAGATCCCCATGAATCATCACAAATCTCATGATTTCCGTGAAAAATCACCATGTACATATGATTCCCATTTGTTCCCACTCAATCTAAACCCATAAATCCAAATAAATCCCCACTTGGAGGATCCACGAATCGTTTAGCAGGTAACCCTGCTTAGTCTGGGACCCCAAAAAAGTGCCCTAAGTAGGGGCCATGCCATCTATAAATGGTTTATAACTATGATATCATTATTATGAACCATTTATAGACTATACATATACGTATATATATATATATACACTATATATATACAATACTACATATATATATATACAATACTACATATATATATATATATACACATATATATATGTATACATATGATATCTATAAATGGTTATCCCATCTGTGATATACTATGATTATTAACCACTTATCTACCCACTGGCTGATCAACTGCGCCCTGCGAGGTCAGTATGCTGCACGTCACGCAGCTGGATCGCATCGTCGATGTGGTCGAGGAAGCCAGCAGAGGTCGCGTCTGTACCTTGCTGGAGAAGACGCTCGGTTCGCATGTCGAGGTTGAAACGGGACACGTGGATTGCATGATGGATGCAGAGCAGTTTAGGGACAATGGGAAGATCATACCGACTCTAGGAATTTATGTAACAAACATGTACCCTCTGGTTATTTGTTACATAGCCATGGAAAATGGCCCATTTATAGATGGTTTACCTATTAATAGCATGGTGATTTTCCATGGCTATGTAACAAATAACCAGATGGTAGAATTTTTCACCCAGATTTTTCTGCTTTTCCGGTGGTTTCATTCGGTTCTTGAAATCAGCGGGCCGAGGATTTTTCGGACAGGCCAAAAAAGTGGGGGATCGGAGTCAATGAAGACCTGGAGTTCACCAATAGATTCATATAGATTCTATAGATGTAAGCATCCAGAAGTGGACTTTCACCAACGAAAATAAAATTGGATTTTCAGGGTAAGCATGGGGATTTTTCCTGCGGCAAAACATGTGTTGGGAAGGAATGTTAACCTGATAGTAAGGAACCATGGTTAATTGGGCGGTTCCACCGAAATCCTGATCATTTGATGCTTAAATGGTACCCCGAATTAAACAGCCCCAGGGTTTATGTTCAGTTCCCAGCAAACAGAAGTCGACATCTTCTGGCCATGCAGCTAGTTGATGCGCCTGGCCCACTTGGTGCAGTGTTGTTGGGTGAAAATGGGCAATGCTTGAGTGAACATAGCAGCTGTGAATCGGTAATAGTGTTTTCGCCCATATGACCTAGTTTCAACTATATGATTACAGTTGCTGGCAGTTTACTAGCTGAAACAAGTAGTTTCATTACAAGTATCCACTTTATCCACTATATCTACCATGCTATTTGATACTATTTGTTCCATAAATCACTACTTAGCTACAATGTGATTGCACCCCGCTTGGTTTATTCCCACCATACACCAAACCAGGATGAGCAAAAATCTGCTTTTGGAGGACTTGGATACCCTCGTCTTTCAGTTGCTAAAAACGGAACCAAAACAGTGATTTTGACATGATTTGACCGTTGAAAATCTTGATTTCACCAACTCAAATTTCGACTTCGGATTTTTTAGCACCATCGAAAAAACAAAACCGAGCCACATTCGGACATATGGGGATGGGTCAATACCTATAGATACATTTTTAGTGGGATGAACATCCATTTACCAGCTATTTTGGGGTTCACTAGGTACCAGGGTTTTGACCCATCCCCATATTAGGATTTGTAACTCAGCACATAGCCAAGCCAAAGAAAATGATTCGTTCCAAGTCAGTGGTTCTCAGCAAGGTGATGCCCCAGTTATAAACGGGTTATAATCCCATGAACTAGTTCGATATATCACCTATAAACCATAGTTATTAGACTTATAAACCAACTTAGCTAACTTATGGGGCACCACCCTGTAGGTTTCTTGCTCACTGGAAATGGTTTGTTTACCCCTTTAACAACAGGTAAATGATGATATATGGCATACGAAACCGGTCCCTCTATTTTACCAAAAGGACATTATTGTCCATCTATCATCATGGTAAAAACAAAAATCATATGGAACAATAATGATAGATGGACAATAATGAGACAATAATGATATTGTCCATTCAGATGGTTCCATACCAAACCGGTCCCAGGGTGACTAAGCATCTGGAACCATCTGGACGCATCGCGGACTTGTCCAGGAAAAAGGAGGGGAAAAGCTCCGCGCTGCCGTCCTTGTCGCTACCCAAGGTGCGACAGGCGCGTTTCGCTCCATGATGATGTTGATGTTGATGGTAAACCAAGTGGAATTGACAGGATTTCATGGGATTTAGCAGGATTTAATGGGATTTCTATGGGATTTCTATGGGATTTCTATGGGATTTCTATGGGATTTAATGGGATTTCATGGGAGTTCTGTGGGATTCAATGGGATTTAACAGGATTTCTGTGGGATTCAATTGGACTTTACCATCTCCCCAACATCCCCAACTAACAGAGAACCTGCCAAACAGGGTTGGAAGATGAAGTTTCCACTAAACTATGAATAGTTTCAGAGTCTATGTTGATTTGGGGGAGGGCGTCATTGGTATGGAACACATCGGCTTATTTTTGTATGATGATTGAAAACATGCGTTCAAATAGATCATCAAATGAAACATGGCAATGGAACATTTTCCATTTGCAGATGATTTACCTATTGAACATCTTGGTTTTCCATTGCGGGGTGGATTACGAGAGTATTTTTTGTACAGTGATTTATTGGCACATTTTTATTGCAGGAAGATGGATGTCCATTCTTGCAACTATAAATGGATAATTGAATGTTGACTGAGAATGATGAAAAGCCATTATTTAGTTGATGATAAATAATCCAATCATAATTGATAATAAGATAACCATCAATAATAATTGGTTATTTATCATTCATTGGTTACCAATCAAGAAGCTTACCCTCTGGTAATTTAACATAGCTATTGAAAATGGCCATTGACATAGTGAGTTTTCCCATTAATAGCATGGTGATTTTCCATAGTTATGTTAAATTACCAGAGGGTAATTAGTTGAGGTTGCTGTTGATGACCTATAAACGATTCGTTTACCGGTCATCAACAATATTAGGTCAAAGCAACAGTTTGTGCAAGCGAATCGGTCGCGCTGGTTGATTTCAACCGGTTGATGCATGTTTAAGCAAAAATACATAGGATTTGAACCTCAAAATATGGGTCAACCGACCAATGATTTGTGGAGGTGTTTGTCTATGATTTGTGCAATTTCGATGAACATATATTTACTAACCAGCTAAAACCAAGTCTTTCGCATCGTATTGATTTTCCCATGCAGTATATTACAGTATATGGGGATGCTCTCACTCATCAAAAAAATCATTCCAGAAGATGACGAGTGTTTTTATGAGTTTTCCACCTAGGCTACACTCCAAACATAGAAACAGATGCGGAAAACGGCCGTTTTTTTGCCACGTTGGTCCACCTTTAGGATCCAACATTAGGGATATCCCAAGGTGTTCGAGTTGTGTTCATTCTAGCCACGTGGGGAAAAACAGTGATGTTAGATGGTTTATAAACCCCATGAAAAGTATAGAGTTATAGGTACCAGAAACCAAAGTGAAATTGGAGTTATAAAGCAACTGAACGCTATCGTTTGGGGGCCCCACTTTGTAGCCATGTTTTCTGGGATTTCGAAGAGCGAATCCGACCATTGACCAATATACCATAACTGGTTGGTGGTTTGGAACATGATTTATTTTCCCCAATAGCTGGGATGATGATCCAATCTGACTTTCATATTTTTCAGAGGGATTGAAACCACCAACTAGCATAATATAGCTATAAGTATTAAACCAGGAAAATTTCGACATATAGGATAGTGATTATATAGCTATTTCAGGCTATTTCCAATATACCCAAATATACCCACTATAAGTTACAGTTCATGGAAAGAAATTTAGGATTTTGGTAACACCAAACATTCAATGGCCATTTCAGGAACCGATTGATTGGAGGTACCGATTCCATATATAAGGCCTATTTTTCAGGCCTAAATTTCAGGGAATATCCCCAGAAAATATGGCCTTATATGGGTATGGGTCAAAATTAGGTACCTCAATAATTGGATGGTTAATACTAAACTAGACATTCACATCTGTGGTCCCCTAGGTCTTCCATTTTGACCCACATCCATATAGTACTAACGTACCTCCATTTTAAGATCCTGAAGATCTCCCATTGAAACATCGACCAGGATCGGTTCACAGAGATCATCACCATCAACGCGGGATGTCTGAATTTCTGTCGCTTGGGCTGGGTGTTTTTTGCGCAGGTGGCAGCATGGGGTTCTCCTAGGCGAATGGTGGCGAATGGCCGTAACTTGGGGGGGATTTTACTTAACAGCATTTTGAGACAAAGCCAGATGTCAAGAAGTGGGAGTTGAGTGACTCCACATTTTGGTGGGAAACCAGATCATGTGAACAATGGCTTGATCTACCCTGATCGATGAGTTTATTTGGCTAAGCGCCTAAAAAAGTTGTGATGTCAATCATTGTACCCTCTGGTAATTTAACGTAGCTATTGAAAATCACCATTTTTAATGGGAAAATCCACTATAAATAGCAATTTTCCATTGCTATGTTAGTCATTACCAGAGGGTAATCATTTCTGAACTGGTACCCCAATGATCAACGGTGCCCCAGTTGGGTTTTCTCAATCCGGAGATTCCTCGCCGGGGCGTCTCGAGGTACATATTGCAAGACTCGCATGGCCCGAGGAACTGTGAAGTCCCTCGGCATCTTCGATGGAAAGTGGCCACGCTATGGGAAAACCCCAGGGAAATGATCTACAAACGGTGGATTGTCCACATCTGACTGTTACCCTCTGGTAATTTCTTAACATGGCAGACATGGCACATAGAAATAGTATGAAATAGTATGAAATACACCCATAAAAGATGGTGATTTTCCAGTTCGCAAACTGTTAGTTTACCTGAGGGTAGTGGGATTATAAACCAACAAAGATACCTGGGTATGTTGGAGTAAACTTGTTGGTTTGGGTAAACTAAGATAGGGTTTCTCTTGTTGTTGACAAGATTCATTTAAAGTTGTTTCTCCTGTTGGTTTCATGTGTGTTGTATGTTCAACTCTATATCCCTGATATAACCGGAATGGGCAATGGCTTCCATAGACTTATCACCTGTCATGTCACGGGGCTTTATTTGAGCGCCCAAAAAAAAAGGCAACAGGTCATCCAGGCAAATTATGTTTTCTCATGTTTTATATTGTTTACCATCTGGTTATTTGTTACAGTTTGCCATGGAAAATCACCATGCTATTAAGAAAGGTAAACCATCTATTTCGATTAGGGCCATCCATACCATGGCTATGTAACAAATAACCAGAGGGTAAGTAGAATTTATCCCTGCTATCCACTCATCACGTTAGTTATAACCTACCGACATGCAGTCGGATGAGCCACCCAAGTAACAGCTACGAAAAAGGCCGCGCGAATTGAAAAAGGCAATCGTGAATGATCGTAGTTGATCTAGATTATAATTCTAGATTGTTCAAGTTTTTTTTTTTAATGCCCTAGGTTTTGGTTTGTATGGAATTGATATCTACAAGATGAACCATCATTTTGACAAGTGGAAATCAGTTGCCATTCATGCTGCAAATATGTCATGAAAGTAGATGATCTTTTAACTTCTATTATTCCAGGCGTTGTACTCAATGGAAATTCCCATAAATAGAAGCTGGTGGTTTCGCATATTTATTTTTTTCCAATGTTTTTTCAACCCTTGGGATGATTGGTTGAGATGACTCATATTTTTGGTCATTTTTGGGATTGGTTAAAGCCACCAATCAGTCCATGATAATTCATAGGGGGACTCCTGTCCTCCCAACAAAAGAGTCCTCTTCTGGGGGTATGTCAGAAGGGTTTTCACTCTGCAGGTGCAGTCAAAGTACCCTCTTGCAGGACAAGACAGAAAAGGTAAAAACATGTAAACACTTACTGTATATTATCTAGCGATATAATGAACAATATGTGGATAATACATGATAAAAAACATGGTTAGTAGATATATGGTAAAAAGTATATTTTTTATTGGTATATCCTGATCTAGGGACCATTATTATCCATTGGGCATATATCAATACACAATCCCGTAGCTTATTATTACTCAAGGTGAAAGGTAAAGTCTGTGATGTTGTGAACCGAATTGTAAACCAGCCCCAAAATGACTATACTTGGGCCGTATAAACCATCCGAAACAGGAGGTTTACCACCTGGGCCAAGGAAAATGTGGCCCCTCCAAAAAAACAACGAAAAAATACAGTGCTTGGAGAAGCGTACGAAAAAGGTTTGAATCAGGTGTAGTTGGGAGGTTTTATTCATTGGATGATTTATTGTTGGTAGAAAGCATGGTTTCTGGTGAAGATTTTCCTTGCAACCCATCAATTTATACCAATCCCGTCCCAGTCTCGTCACTCCGCCAGCTTCGCTGAGGTCATATTCGGTGGAGGAGACGGGGATTTCATCCTCCACTGTGGGAGCTTCAACTTAAAAGCATATGTAATATAATATATATATATGTATATATAACCTATTCGTATATATAAACAATATAATACATGTCCATAGCTATCATTGACGAAGTCTTGCCGATGGGCCCCATTTCTTTCAGTAGGGGCAGTTGCAATGAACGATGAGAGGATACTGACTAAGAGTGGGGCTCTCATCAGTAGCCACTGAGAAACCACCCAGTACTGTGTCTGTTCGGAACCAACGGTGACTAATAGTGATACCATTTAAGTCATTTGTACCAAGAGTGACATTAAGTCTGGTAAACTAACAGTGACTAATAGTACTAACGGTGATACCATTAAGTCCCTGTTGACTTCACAGTACATAACATCAGGGAAGCCCTCACCGAGACGAAGCGCCCTATGCTCCGAACAATAGAAGCTCTGGTTCTTAAACTCCCACCATATAACCCATATAACCAGCAACCAGCACAACCAGCAAACCAGAGTTAAACCCATCATAGAATCACCATCAGAAGCCCCTTCAAAAAAGATTGGAGGTTTTTTTACTGGTTACCATCTGGTTATTTGTTACATAGCCATGGAAGCCATGGCCCATAGAAATAGATGGTTTACCGTTCTTAATAGCATGGTGATTTTCCATGGCAAACTGTAACAAATAACCAGATGGTATATTTAATACTATGGTAATAACATATGGTAATGATATGGTAATTTGCTATAAAACAATGATTGTTAATGATAATTTAAACTTGGCTATAAACCATAAAACTATTTTCCATAAACCTTGTGGAAACTGCTGCTCCAACTTGGCCAGTCTGGCCTTTCGTTCCAGTGAACTGAGTGAAATCTCCAAGTGAGCTGATCCTGAAAAAACCGAGATGGTCAAGATCAGCTCTTTTTCAGAACGTGCTGGAATTTGCTGGTCAAGACTTGAGTTTACTGTATTTATTTAGTTTATTTCTGGAATTTGCAGATAGTTGTCGAAGAGTTGAATCTCAATGACATGTTTTTGTTTCTCCAAAACATAATTTGCTGGTGTTGTCGAAGAGTTGAATCTCAATGACATGGTGTATAGTTTTTTTCTCCTTTGAACATGAAAACACAATGCATCTAGCCTCTGGTAATGACTACCATAGCTATTGACAATGCCCCATTTATAGTTGATTTATCCATTCAACATGGTGATTTTCTATAGCTATCTTAGTTTACCAGAGGGTATCATTCAGGAAGGTTTACCCATAAAGTGATGCCACATCATGAGGTTCACCTGACTGGGCTTGGTTTTCCTCCCATTTTCTTGGTCAAACAATCCAAAAATGACAACCCATGTTTCATCCCTATTTAAGTGTTGCTTAAACCACCCATTTTGGCATGGTAAATCCATGATTTATGGCATTTTTCACAGGCTTTCAACTCCCAATCTTGGTCAAACGGTAAAAACCATGGTTACACATTGTTAAACCATCATGTTTCCCCTTTTTGAAACCTCACAAAAGATCAGAAAAAGTCATATATATATAGATATTGATATATTATTATATCATATATATATATATATATGTTATATCATATATGTTATATGAAAAACATACATGGTTTATCACTATGGTTCCAGTTTCACCTGGCGTTTCACCAATTTCACCATCCAAAAAATGGCCACTTTTCCAACGAAGATCCAGGAGATCGTGGCACGGGCCCAAGAGGCGGCGGAGGAAGGGGTGTGCCACATCGAGCTGGCCTCGGAGGAGCCTTGGTTTCGATCCATGGGATGTATATTATATAATGACATATATATAATATATATATATATTACTTAATATATAAGTATAATTAGTTATATATATTTATGTTTAAATATACTATTATGTATATGTTATAATATATATATGGGATTTGTTTCTTTTGGAAGCCATCGTGCTAAAGACTTCCCCAGATGGAAACATGCTTGGTTCAAAATTGATATGGAATGAACAAGTTCTTTATGCAGAAAATGGGCTTCAGAATTGATGTGGAATTATGGATATGGCATACATCCATATTAAGTAAACCATGTAAAGCATAGCTGGTGGGGAAAAAACACTGTTGTTGATGGTTCAGAATGATTTTTTGAATTGTTGACTGTTAGAATGACATTCAGAGTGACCAGATATGGATTCGTAACATTTCTATTTGCTGAATCTATCTTGAACTGAAACCTGTTGGTCATGTACAGGTCTTGGAAGATTTGAATCTATTCAGGGCTAAATCATAGGTTATGGGTTGAATCTAAGCGAGAGAGTTCCACCCGCTTGGTTGATGGTCAAAAGTGGGATATGTGTTGATGACAAAACTGGGTTGTGTTGATGACCAATCAGGAGGGATGAGCAACTTTTGCATCATGGACACGTTTTTGGGTGAGACTTACCATCTGGTAAACGTTTACATAACGATCTGGAAAATCACCATGCTATTAATGGGTAAATCAACTGTTTCTATGGTCATTTTCAATAGCTATGTTAGTCATTACCAGAGGATATCAACCACAAACAACGGCCAAGTTTTTGTCAGTTATGGCAGTTACGGCCTCAGTTCTGGCTCAGCATTCAGGACATGGGCGCTTATGGTGTGGACATCGGGAGCAACATCGGTGAGCTCTTGCTTCGCTTGTCGGATGCTCTGCCACCACAAGCCACTGGGCAGATATGGGCCCCTGTTTTTGGTGTCAGACTGGGAGCCTTGAGATCCCGGCTAAGTGAACTAAGTAGATATATTTCACCATACTTATAGCGGTTATATTCATGATAATATCATGTTTTATCCCAACTCGTGGGGCTTATTTCACCATGGTTATACTCATATAGAACATTATAGAACCTCAACGGCACCCCCGTAGCCTCCTGAATTTCGCCTTCGATCGAGTCAGGATGATTTTCGGACAGGGCCATTTTTTGCCTTCCACGATGTTAGAGGGATAGTTTCAGGAGTGCACATCTAGAATCTCGAAGGGAAACATGAATTTGGCGGCTTGATCCTCAGATCATATTCAAGGGGATCATCCCCAAAAGCTTCGCATGATCATTCTTGGGGTCATGACGGTCATGGTTGCTTTCCTTGATATAGTAACCTGCAAAAGAAAGATAGATTTGAGTCCCCAAGTCACCACTATTTTAGTAGGATTTTATCTGGTATCTGTTTGGGAGTTTGCCATAAACCACGAAACGCTCACCACTTCGCAGGGAGTCCCCACAGTTTGGACCTTCTTGGAGGAGCAAAAACACCACACCCCATGGGAGTCCCCACCTTGAAAGTGATCTTGGCTCTCATCAAAAGAATAGGAAGGTTATGTGAAGATGACAATGGTTTTCCATAAGTTCGCAGCAAACAAAGCATAATCACACTGATGTTGGACCATAAGAAATCTGCTCGGTTCCACCTTTGCCATCGTGCCATGGAGAGCAGGCCCGTCAGCGATCACTCGACTAGCTATACCCATACCCAACAAATGAATGGGATGTTCCCTAATCAAGGGCTTGTTAACCCCATCTGAATCCAAGTTGACCATCTGTTTACCATCTTATCTCTTTGGTGCCCAAAATGAATCGAACAGATTCAGACACCGGGACCTTGCATTTTTTCGGAGTGCGGACGGGTTTCGTGGCAGATTTCACGACAGGTGATGCTGCGGACGGGCATGACGAATCCTCCCTACATCATGCAACACCTCGATAGCGTCACTTGGTGAAACCCGAGGAAAGCACGGCGCGCAACATGTGAGCTTAATTGGATTAATCATTTAAGACCCGTGTTAAACAAATTTGGGTTTAATCATCAAGCATTCATTGACACATTGGGGATATTTTCTTGCCACGAAATGTTGGGAAATGCCACCATTTTGAGGGATCCAGCAATAAATAGGTCCAATACAGGCGAAAATGGAGGGATTATTGGCTTTAAGACAAGAATTCTTTCACTCACGGAGTGACAGTGTTGGTCATGAAAGGGTGGGACGAGCCGGACCAAGATTGAAAGTGATGTTAGCCCACTAAAGATACAAAAACATTCTTTGCCAACAAACATGGTGAAATGACAAAATCAATCAAGAACAATGGGAACAAGATGGGAGAATAACTTTGGCTTGTAACTTCCAGATTCCCGGGTCTACACCTTTCGAACTGGGAAAAACAACTTCCTGAGATGATTCCGAACTACGCTGATCTTGGCAGTGGATCAATCATTGGCCTATGATAAATTGCAATGGTGATGTCCATTGCCAAGATGATCCCAACTACCCTCTGGTAAACTAACATAACTATGCAAAGTCACCATTTTGGGAAAACTCACTATTTCAATGGCCATTTTCACCAGAAGGTAAGCATGATTAAACAAACAGTTTGATCCATCAGCATGGACTATGCTTGGTTGGGATCATTTTAGTTGGATCAAGCTTTGTCGATTCATTACCATCAAGACCAGGGCTTCCAAGATCGTTGACCAACTGGTAGATATGTGTCAACGCTACAACTGGTGCAGCTAATCCCATCTCATCCCATGGTAAAAACCGCAGACCCAGCCTTGTTTATGAAGGGTCAGAGTGGTGTTTATTATATATAATGGATATCCAATACAGTATACTACATATGTATACACATATTAATGTGAATATAGGCCAACCCTTTTTAAACCCCACCCTTTGCGTCATCGAACATGGTCATTGCTGTAAAGCCCCCATCAAACATGGTGGAATTACCAAGCCATGTTTGATTACTGGAGGATATCCCAACAGCTGAGATGATCCCCAATGTTGAGGGTGTCTTGAAATGGTTAAAAGCCTCCCCAAATCATCCAAGATTAGACCATTTGAAAATGGGAATATTTCCCCACCTGCCAGGTGAGGGTTGTTAGATTTTATGTCAGTTGCCTGCTCCTCTCCTCCTCTCCTCTCCTCCTCCTCCTGCTCAACCGCGACCCTCGACGCACAGTGTTCTCTGTCGGACCTCAACCACGACCATCCACGCCCAGTGTTCCCTGCCGGACCTCAACCACGACCATCCACGCCCAGTGTTCCCTGCCGGACCTCAACCACGGCCATCCACGCCCAGTGTTCCCTGCCGGACCTCAACCGCGAGTATCCACGCTAAGTGTTCCCTGCCGGACCTCATGTAGGAAGATATGGGACAAAGAATGTGCAGAAGAAAGTTAGAAAGAATGTCAGACAAGTATGTTATATATTACTTGCAAACTCGCGCGTGTGTGGTAGAGTGACCGGGGCAATGCCACTTCTTACTTTGCAGGTGGCCTTTCCAAGAGCATGGAATGTGTATGATGCATTGCAAGCATCCTGACACAGTGCTCTGCCAGTGGGACCTAATCGGTTTTGACTGAAGAGGTCCGGGGGAGGCATAGGCCTGGCACGTTGCTCTACCTGTGGGACCTAATCGGTTTTGATTGAAGAGGTCTGGTGGAGGAATAGAGAGTTGCAGCTGCAGCGATCTGGTGAAGTAACACTGGCATGGTTTTGTCTAGTTTACACACGAGCTTGCGAGCTTTTGACTTTGGTTCAGGTGGTCCACTGGCTTGTTTCAGTCATGTTTTTACAAACATGTTTGACAGGCGGTGTGCTGACATGTTTGGGCATGTTTGTTTGTTTGGCTCAAGTGGTCCACTGGCCTGTTTGGTCATGTTTAAGCAAACCTGTTGAGAGCTCTGGAGTTTACTTCACATGGCCCACTGACATGTTTATATCCTGTTTGACAGACTGACATGCACAATGACCTGCCAGGTGAAACAAATGATTGGGATAGTTAGTTGGGCAAAAGTCCCGTGACAAAAGCCCCAGACAAAAGTGGTGTCAACAAGCTGTTTTGAAATGTCATGGTGGGGATCACTCGAAGCAAAGTAATTTATTGTTTTGTACTAATATTTGATATTGAAATATACCTGGTTCCGGTATATCTCATATTCCAATAATAAGTCAAACCTTTAGTGTCTATGGCTCAGCCCATTTCTGGGACACTACCTCGGCACAAAATGCGAGATATGGCGGTCCCAAGGCAGAATTAACTGGTCAGATTTTTGAAGGGTAGGTTAACACTCTGGTAAACGTTTACAAAAAACTATGGAACAAATCTCGGTTTTATAGCTGGATAAATCAACTATTTCGACTGGGCCATGGCTTCAACAGCTACGTAACGAATTGCCAGAGGGTAAGGCTTTCAATTTCAGCCAGACATTTGGAAGGATTTCGTAGACAGCAAAGAATGAAACTGAATTTTGAGATTGTATCCAAGATGAGCCGCACCATTGACTGTGTTGCCATTCTTCGGGTCGAAATTTCAAATATTCCTCGTTTTCGTATCTTAACTATCTTGAAACATGTTCAAACATCTCTTTAAGCAAATCCATAGATTCCATAGGTATCATAGGTATCCAAACGTCTTTTTTATGGCAGTCTTTGAATTTCCCACGCCTTCAGTAACGAACAATACTGAGGTCATTGAGGCTTTACAACGACCCAACATCTATAGCTTCATGCACGTGCCGGTGCAAAGCGGTTCCAATGCGGTGCTGAAACACATGAAGCGAAAATATAGCGTGGAGGAGTTCCAACACTTGGTGGACGCTTGGAACCAGCGGCTGACCTGGTGTCGCTGGTTGGAACGTGCTCAGAAATGTGGATTCCACGAGGGGATATTTGATTTTAGATTTGATCTATCCATTTGATGAATCGGTTTTCTCTATATCATGAAATGAAAGGACATGTTATGAAATGTTGTGTGAAATAGGTTGATAACATCTAATGATATATAATATACATCATTATGAAATAACAACATCATTTGATAACAAAGGTTTGATCTTATGATAGAGGTCGATCAGGATGCTGGTCAGTTTTTCTTGGTGCGAACATGATGCAGGTTTCAGGGGAATGCCAGTGAAACAGATTTTTGGTGGTTTGCTGAAGATGCGTTTGAGCGCTCAAATATGATACAGGACATCCATATACATCCATGTATATATTGTATACACATACACTGACACACACACATAGACATATGATGAATATATTTTGAATATATTATAAATATATTTTGAACATATTTTAAATATATCTATAATATATTATACATATAATATATTATAGATATATTATAAATATAATAAATATTATATAAATATATTATAAATATATTTTGAACATATTTTGAACACATTATAAATATATTATAAATATATTATAGATATTATAAATATATTATATTATAAATATATCATAAATATATTATAAATATATTATAAAAATATTTTGAACATATTTTGAACATATTATAAGTCTATTATAAATATATTATAAATATATTATAAAAATATTTTTGAACATATTTTGAACATATTTTGAACATATTATAAATCTATTATAAATATATTATAAATATATTATAAATATATTATAAAAATATTTTGACCATATTTTGAACATATTATAAATATATTATAAATATATTATAACTATATTATAAATATATTATAAATATATTCTAAATATATTATAACTATATTATAAATATATTATAAATATATTATAAATATATTTTAAATATACTATAAATATATTATAAATATATTGTAAATATATTATAAATATATTTTAAATATACTGTATATAAAATATTTTATACATACGTTTGTTATCGTTTGTTGATCTTTGTTTGACACACATCTCTTGCGGGCGAGCATGATTACACCTAACCCGCCTTGTCGCCTCTCCGGGCTCGGCGGCTAAGTGGGTTGATGGTTCAATGTTAAACCTGCAAGGTGGTGCCCCAGTTACAAATGGGTTTACAAGTCTGTATAACAACTATGGTTTATAGGTTATATATCTTTATAATAACTGTGGTTTGTAAATGGGTTATATGGGTTATAATCGCATTAACTATAGATATATCACCAACAAAAGCCATAGTTATTATATAGACTTATTTGCACCAACTTAGCTAAGGAACTGGGGCAGAACCCTTTGTAGATTTGGAACATGGGAACATGTGCAGCATGACTTGCTGTGACACCCAGCTGACGTCAATAATTACTTCATGTTACTTCACTTCATTCATTGGCCGAGAAGCATTCTTGAAACCTGCTTGGATCTTGTTGCGCATTTTTGCACCTTTGAAATCGCGGAGTGTAGGTCAGAATTGAAAGCTCCAAGTGTATGGCTCAAACATTTGGGAATTTACCACCACATACTTGGATGTGCATCCCTGTTGGTAACTGGTCAATAACCATCAATAATCCTCCTTGGCTGGTTTGTATTCCATATGGTCAAAAATGGCTGGCTTGCTGAAAAATCACCCATTTATAGAACCCTCCATCTCTAAGGGATTTTCCAGCTAGCAACGTTTGATGACACGGGGTCCCATGCACCGAGGATCGCTTGCGAGACGCCATTCCAGACATCTACCTGCTCACGGATGTCATCTGCGGATATCCCACCGAAACGGAGGAGGACCAAACAGATTCTTGATATGAACAAGATGATATTGATCATCAAGATGATATAAATAAATATATATATATATATATCATATATATATATTCATATATCATATATATATATCATATTATTATCATATTATATGTTCATGATATAGTTGTTGAAGAATTATATTGAATATTCTTGGTTGATGACACCAAGGTGATTTTCAGATCGAAAAGCCCACCGAAAAACCGTCCTCGACGCTTCGGGAGGACTGGCAGATGACGCTGGACTTGGTGAAGCGTTGCAACTTCCACGGAGTTCCTCGGTGAGTTTCTGGGGGTGCTTGGTGGGCCAACATGAATAGGGGAGTTACCCTCTGGTAATTTAACATAGCTATTGAAAATGGCCATTGACATAGTGGTTTTTCCCATTAAAAATGGTGATTTTCCATAGTTATGTTAGTTTACCAGAGGGTAACCATGAACAATGCTGAAGAATTGTTACCCTCTGGTAAACGTTTACAGAAAACTATGGAAAATCACCATGCTATTAATGGGAAACACCACTATTTCTATGACCATTTTCAATAGCTATGTTAATTTACCAGAGGGTAGATTTAAGATGATATAACTTCTGAACCATAATATATGGGATAATCCTTCCCATTGACTTTCATATTTTTCAAGATGGTTAAAACCACCACCAGCCAGCTGCTTTTTGATTCCAATCTTGGACAACCCGACCATATCCATATGTCACAAAGAGTGAAATGAAATGAAATGAACCAATTCCAAAGGCCGGTATCAATGGACTATCATCATCTTCACCAGGTGAGCCATTTTTCGGGTTTACCACGGTATCCATATTCAGACACGCCTAAAATCCAAAAAAACCGAATCATTAAATGATATCTCACGATATTCCCATTCAATACCCTCTAACCATCCGTGACATCTCATTATATACCATTAAATCCTATTAAATCCCATTAAATCCCATTAAATCCTATTAAATTCCATTAACCCCCATTAAATCCCATATTTTCCTATATGTAAATCTTCATTCAATGCCCAGGTCTATTCCTCGCGCTTCTTCGCGCGCTCCGGGACGCCGGCCGCCCGCTTGCCTCAGTTGCCGCATGCCGTGACCAAGCGACGTGCCTTGGTGAAACCGACAGTCGCAGAAGCAACCATGCTTTGTGGAACTATGGAGGTACCCTCTGGTATTTAATGGGACTTAATGGGGTTTAATGAGATATTTTGGATATATAATAGATATACCCTCTGGTAATTTGTTACATAGCTATGGAAAATGGCCATTGAAATAGTGAGTTTTCCCATTAATAGCATGGTGATTTTCCATAGTTATGTAAACGTTTACCAGAGGGTAAGGTAATCGTCAGCGAGAAGATTTCCAAAATGTTGCGAAAAAATCGCAAATGATTTCTTAAATGTTGCATTGAAATTTAGGTCCTGTGATCTACTAAAGATCACCATGGAATGCTGTACAGAAACTGCATTTGTGATCGCAAAAGAAATCATTGCACAGCACAGTGTCATCACATTTTAAAGCATTTTGGGCAATTGTAGAAGTCACCGTTCGTGGCCTTTTGCAGCATCGCAGCTTAAACAGTATGTTTCATAATCATAAGCATCTTCAACCTTAATCATAGAATTTATATTGACATACCGATCCATTTACACTCCTAATAACAAGTGCTTTCGATGTCTCCAGCTTCTGTGCCATGTTCGCCGAGTTCCTTAGGTATCCAGGGTATCCAGGCTGGAATTTTCACCACCAAAATTGGGATGATCCTCCCTGCAAGGTGGTGCCCCACCAGTTATAAGTTGGTTTATAATCCCATTAACTATTGATGTATCACCTATAAACTATAGTTATTGGACTTATAAACTAATTTAGCTAACTATGGGGCACCACCTTGTGGTTTCAACTCCAACTGGTCCAACTCCAACCACCAAAGGTTACCAGGAGCTGTGTGCCCTGGACGCCTGTAACGATCGCCACCTGGCCCTCCTGGGCCGCACGGAGCGGGTCTGGTTCGCCGGCAGCGACGAGACACGGCACCAGACTCTGGGACGAAGCAAGAACTTTGCCAAGGTGCCCCTTGGGCTGTCGGGAATGGGGATGAACCAAAAGGAAGATGAGAGTTTCCCATGAATTTTAGGGAAGAGTCAATTCATAGGATTTTGATATGGATTGATATGGTTTAATTGTCATTGAATGAGATTTTTGTGATATTTGAATGGTTGAATGGGATCATGGGGATGGCTCAATCGAACATTGAGCAACAAATTACACCAACATTTCGGGGTGAAGCAGCTGGTGAAAGGGGACAGTCGTTTTCGTTCAATATCACTGAGGTTATCTGATTAATTAAAAAGGTGATCCATATCACATGATTGTTTTATTCGGTTCACCATTCATGGGCCAATTTCACTTAAAATATCTCAAAATACTGGGGCTGATCGAACTGATGAAGAGGTAAACTGGGAAAATAAACTGTGCGTAAGATTTGCCATGAAAGGGCGAACTTTCCAAGTAAGACTATTCTGATGTAACTTGTTCTTCAATGATGTGATCTACAGGTGTACAGAATTTTGACCCAAAACCAAATGGGTCTAATAAATCAGCGAGTGTAAGTCAACCAATTGCTTATACTCGTCCAGGACACTACGATGTCCGAAGTATTGTTGAACGGATTTCACTTTTTCCCCATGTTTTCACATTGGGTTAAATCACACTCAATCCCATCATTGCTAGAGTTAGATAATATATATATGTTTTCTTTCCATTATTTTCCAATTTTTTCTATATACATCCACCATTTTTCCACATTTTTTCTATAGATATCCACCATTTTTATAGCCCCCAGAGATCTTTCACCACTGTGTCGCTCCAGGTGCTGGTGCCGCAGGACGACGCTCTGCTGGGCCAAAGTGCCCTGGTGGAGATCCAGAAGACCTGCGTGCAGCACGTGGAGGGCCGGGTGGTCACCAGTGACCACCGGTGACGGCGGTAGTGCCAGGGATGGTGAAACTCGAAACTTTGGAAAACCATTTGGCATGAATTTCTGAGTGTTTTACTTAGTTGGAACTTTTGGGGTGGATGTTTTTTTTTTGATGGGCTGATGTGCATTTGCTGTGTTTACCAAATGGTTTATTAGAAGAAGCTTGAGAAGCAATTACGTGGAGGCTGGTTGCTGCCTTTGTCTGAGCGGGTTGTTTGTAACGCAGAAAAAATACATTGGAGGCATGATTACTTCCGCAGGGATGAATTGCCCATCCCCAAAGCAAAGTCTGGCAACGGCCAAGCTACCTAGGTATAGAAAAAAATGGCAAGGCGAAAAATGGTCTAAAATTTGACCCAAAACAATTGGTTAGGGAAATCAGTGGCAAGATCGTGTGAGTTCTTCCCATCCTATGCGTCCAAGCATCACCGCACTCGATTAGATCGTAGATCGTCGCAACTCCTTTGACCGGTGAAAAGAGGGAGCCCAAAGCTGCAGGAGGTTTGCACCGGACATGGGTCAAAGCAAGAAACTTGGAAATCACAATTGCTCTCGGGTAAACTAACACAATGATATGGAAAAACAACCGCTGTTTCTGGTTGAGAAAGTGATCTATACATGTTTGGTTTTCCGTATCTATGTGATGTTTTGGTGTGTAAGTAAAAATCGGATTTGTTAGATATTTGAATGGAAATGAAAGATATGGCAATTGAACATCCTATGCAAATGGGGTTTGAATGGGAACATCATCTATAAATGGAGGATTTTCCATTGACATGTTCGATTACCAGAGTGTACCTGTTTTTTTCTGTGATGTTTGCTGAGTTTACTGTATTTGATGGTAGAACATGAACATCAATCTCTGGTTGCTGGTTTGCATATATTGGGAATAATCATCCCATTTGATTAATATTTTTCAGAGGGGTAGGTCAACCACCAACCAGATCGCTTCAAACTTCGTGTAAAATACGAGCACCAAATAAAAAGGCCCAGGACAGATAAACTTGCACGTGGATCTCTTATAGAAGGTGGTGTCCCAGTTATAAATGGCTTATAATCCCATGACAACAAGTTCGATATATCGCCAACAGAAACCTATAGTTATTAGATGCTATTAGACTTATAAACCAACTACTATAGATATATCACCAACAAAAACCATAGTTATAGTTATCAGAGCTAGTTGTACCAACCAATCGCGATTCCGAACTGGGGCACCAGCCTGCAGGATGCTAACGATGCCAGGCTTTAGCACAAAACACCAACTTATCTGTCATGAACCAGTGACAGTAGATAAATCCACCATGTTTGTTGATAGAAATCCTAACTTTTGTTGCTTAAATCACAAATTTTGTGGATAATTCATGATAGAAATCCCTCTTTGCTTCTCAATTTAAGGATCTCCGAAAACCCTAAACCCCCGGTGTTTTCCGTTCCAGGAGCCGAGGATACTGAGGTGAGTTCTTCGGGGAGTGACCGGGAGTTTCCATTCGGAAAAGCCACGTCTTCTCGGTGATTTTGCCAGAAAGAGAGAAATCGCTGAGTTTTTTTTGGTAAACCATGGTAAACCTAAAGACCAATCACTATAGGTTTACGATAAGTTTAATACCAGCTGACAATCAAACTGAGTCGTTTTGCTTGCAGCTGCCTAAAATTGGCCACGTGACCACAGATTTGGTGGTGCTGTCCACTGGCTGGTGAATGTTGGTATCGTTTGCTGCTTAAACTTTGGTTGACACCCATTAACCTCGTCAGAGCACATTTACATCTTCAAGTGATACAATCATGGTTCTTTGATTGTAAACACCTGACTTCGGTAAACCAACACAACTTCGAAATGGAGAGGTGTGTGAAATATGTTGAGTGTTTGAGTCCTCTTTTTCTGCTATGCACTCTGCCATTTGCTTAAAACTTTAAAGTATATTCCAGTCCATTTTCAGCGGTATACTAACAGCACATACTAACCATGACTAGTTGATGTATCAAACATGATTAGTATACACCTGTTTGGCCATATCCATGGTTAGTAGATCTCTCATTTAGTGCTGTGATGTATCCATGAATGTATCATTTTCAGGGGTATACTATCCACCATCATTACACACATAATATATATATGATTATATACGTATAGATTTGCACATATATATATATATGTATATATATGTATCCTGAAAAAACATAAAGTACTATCCAAGAATATATATATATATCAAATATACCCAAGATATATCCTGAATATATATATATATAGATAGATAGATATAGATACAAACACCTACCCCACACTTAATTTGAATCATATGTATATATATATATACATATTTCCCCTATGCGTTGATACGTTTGTTCCAACTCCTACGTCGCCCTGTTGCGTTTGGCCGCTTGGCCGACACGTCGCAGGTGTACAGCGGTCCGCAGGGTTTCCCCCGTCACCTGGGGCGAGGTTTCGAACTGCGAGAATCCAAGGCCTTGCGCTGCGCTGCCAGGGCTTGGGTGCCATGGGGAAACTATGAAAAGCGTTTGAAATCCATGGAAAATGATAGGGAAATCATGGGAAATCTATCTGGAAATGGATTTTGATGGGAAATTCTATGGAAAATGATAGGGAAATCTATCTGGAAATGGATTTTGATGGGAAATTCATAGTGGAAATGCTTGGGTAAGCCTTGGTGAGGGGTATGTGAAAAGGAACATGTTTCATTTTCTCGGCTAGACATGAAGGAGTTGTGGATATACGGATATAGAATTATACGTGTATGTATGTATGTATGTATGTATGTATGTATGTATGTATGTATGTATGTTATGTATGTAATGTAATGTAATGTAATGTAATGTAATGTAATGTAATGTAATGTATGTATGTATGGTAATGTCCCTGTAATGTGTAATGTAATGTAATGTGATGTAAATGTCTGTATGGTAATGTATGTATGTATGTATGTATGTATATATACGCGCAACGCCTGGGTTTTGCCCAGGCGTTGCAGCGTAGAGGTTTCCCATTCACAAACAAATGATGTTGCAAATTACCGTAATTCCTATGGGGAAAATAACAAAGGTACTAGGGACTATTAAACAAACAAGGTCAAAACACCCAAAATTCCTATGGGAAAAACAAAAACGGCATAACATTTGAAATTCCTATGGGAAAAACAACAAAGGTACTAGGAAATTTTAAACTCTCAAATCGTGAAACTTAACATTCAATTAGGAAGATCAACAAAGATATTAGGGAATATTTCTCTCCCACCCCCGTTAAACCTTAAATTCCTATGGGGAAAACAACAAAGGTACTAGGGACTATATTAAAAAAATGTCAAAACACCCGAAATTCCTATGGGAAAAACAAAAACGGTATTAGGGAATATTAAACTCCCACCCCCGTTAAACTTTACATTCAATTGGGAAGATCAACAAAGATATTAGGGAATATTAAACTCCCACCCCCGTTAAACTTCTACATTCATTGAAGATCTTCAATAAGGGTTTAATTCTCCCACCCCGTTAAACTTCTACATTCATTGAAGATCTTCAATAAGGGTTCTACATTCATTGAAGATCTTCAATAAGGGTTTAATTCTCCCACCCCCGTTAAACTTCTACATTCATTGAAGAACTTCAATAAGGGTTTAATTCTCCCACTCCCGTTAAACTTCTACATTCATTGAAGATCTTCAATAAGGGTTTAATTCTCCCACCCCCGTTAAACTTCTACATTCATTGAAGATCTCCAATAAGGGTTTAATTCTCCCACCCCCGTTAAATTTCTACATTCATTGAAGATCTTCGATAAGGGTTTAATTCTCCCACCCCCGTTAAACTTCTACATTCATTGAAGATCTCCAATAAGGGTTTAATTCTCCCACCCCCGTTAAACTTCTACATTCATTGAAAATCTCCAATAAGGGTTTAATTCTCCCACCCCCGTTAAACTTCTACATTCATTGAAAATCTCCAATAAGGGTTTAATTCTCCCACCCCCGTTAAACTTCTACATTCATTGAAGATCTTCGATAAGGGTTTAATTCTCCCACCCCCGTTAAACTTCTACATTCATTGAAAATCTCCAATAAGGGTTTAATTCTCCCACCCCCGTTAAATTTCTACATTCATTGAAGATCTTCAATAAGGGTTTAATTCTCCCACCCTCGTTAAACTTCTACATTCATTGAAAATCTTCGATGAGGGTTTGATTCTCCCACCCCCGTTAAACTTCTACATTCATTGAAGATCTCCAATAAGGGTTTAATTCTCCCACCCCCGTTAAACTTCTACATTCATTGAAGGTCGTCAATAAGGGTTTGATGATGTTGATGATGATGATGATGATTATGTTGATGAACATGATATTGATGATGATGATGATGATGATGATGATGATGATGATGCGTCGCCCGTCGTCATTGCGGGTCCGGGCAAAACCCAGGCATTTGCCGTATATATATATATATAGAGAGAGATACATATTGCATGTCCAAGTAATAATTCACATTTTTCTAGGGTATTGGTGCTTGGCCATGAATATAGGGTTATCCGGGTTATCCCAGTGGTTACTCAAAGAAAATCTGAGATGGCAATGGACGTCACTAGTTGGAGTTTGTGGTACAAAAAAAGAAGTACCGCCAGTTGTGGGCGCAAACTTTTTCGGATGAAACCAGTTATACGCCAACAAAATCCAACAAACCTATGTGGACATTGGGAAAATATATGATTGAAAATCACATAAAAGGGTCTAATCATCATTTTTGTGCATTTAACATGTGGGATCCCTCTTAACCACTGGTTTTGCTAGAGAGAACTAAACACTATGTTTGAACTTTTTTTTTGCACATTTTAAGACATACCCAAATATCAATGAACCACCGATCTCTTGTTCAACATATTGTGTTTGAGCCGGGCAATGCGACAGGTTCAGTACAACAACTTGGCGAACCATGGTCCCACCAAAGGACCTCCGGTGTTGCGCTACCACAACACCTGCAGCAAGGAAGGGCAAAACGTGGATGTGGTTCGGGGGCTTGGAAATTGGAAGGTTG